TTATGATTTGGAAAACCGTTAAAATGATTCACACTGAAATTCAACTAGGGGGATACGAGGAAGTCACTTAACAATGTTAATAAGACTAGTTTTAACAAGGTTATGATTTATGTTTGTTTGTTTGTTTGTATGTTTGTGTGTTTACAATTTTGTGAAAATCAATTTAAAAAAATGGAAAAACAAAAACAAATTGTAAGAACCGTCCTGGATCAGACCAATCCTGTCCATTAGCTCTTTTTAACCCGTTCATAAATGACCTGGAGTTAGGTTTACCAAATTGTTCAGAGATGGTAAGGAGCCCCAAAAGGATCTCTCCATACTGGGCAAATGAGCAGTAAAATAGCAATTAAAGAAGTAACAAAAGTACATTTCCCCTCCATTTCCTAGACGAAGGCCATAATATAAGTGAGCATCAGATCAGCACGGCCCAGCTCTGAGCATGTGCAGAGTGCTTTCCCTTCTCAGGCCCCTAAGCAAGCCTTTGCCGAACTAACAGGAGATTTTGTCAGCTGGACCAAAGGTAACAATGCAAACAGTCGTTTTGATTTGCAGGTTGTTGATTAACCGGATGACCAACCCTGGAAAGAAAGAACAGTAAGAGCAAAGGCTGAAAGCGGGTGGAATTGCCCTGCTAATGCACCTGCTTGCTGCAGAAATCTAACTGGAACTGGGGGGGGGGGGGAGCAACTGGTTCATATTTAAATGACTGCGTTCCCTGGCAAAGGGACAGCTGCTCTCCAGGGTTTCAGGCAAGGCACACACACCTGCAGCATGAATTGGGACCTTCTGATTGCATGCAAGGCAGGCGCTGAGAGTCAGCCCTTCTGAGCGTGTGCACAGAACTCGATTCGAATCTAGATCAGACTCCGGTGATTACTCGCGGCTGTGTGTGTGGCACTCTGCATGCGCTCAGAGGAACCGTTGCTGACCCGCTGGACGTTTAGAGCAGCCTTCGTCTCCGGCCCCCCATTCCACCGACCCACCTGCCGCCGCAGCCTTGGGTTCAGCCGCCAACCAGGCGCCCAGGATCCGCTCCGACTCGCCCCCCGCGTAAATATGCGCGGTATCCAGCTCGCAGTGCCCGCGGGCCAGGAACGCGCGCAGCATGGCCCCGCTGGTCGCTGCATCTGCCCTGCGCCCGAACTCCATGGTGCCCAGCACCGAGCGCACCCCGCGGCTCTGCCCGCGTAGCCCCGACATCCCGGCGGCTGCAGCAGCTCGATCTGCCTCCGGCTGGACTCGAACTCGCCACCAGATGGGAAAGAGCCTTTTAAAGCACGCGTGACGCCACGCCTTCCCTTCCCAGGTAAGGGCCCGTCTCAAAATTCCTGCAACGTCTTTTTAGAGCGTGCCATTTTGCAGCATGTCGTTTCGTATGCCTGTTTTAAAAGGGCTGGTTTCAAGCAGAGCCTTCAGTCAGAGTGTCCTGCTAAGGTCTGGGAGACCTGGGTTCAAATCCCCACTGGGCTATGAACTCGCTTGGGTGCAACCTTGGGTGCGACTGTCTTTCTCAGCCTAACCTACCTCTCAGGGTTGTTGTGGGGATTAAAGGAGGAGGGGAGGGAGAACCGTGTGAGCCAATGCTTTCAAGCAACTTGGAGGAAAATGGTAGGATATAGAATTCTGAGAAATCTCTATGTGGGACAAGAAGCTACAGTTAGAACGGGATATGGAAAAACTGATTGGTTCAAAATTGGGAAAGGAGTACAGCAAGGCTGTATATTGTCTCCCTGCTTATTTTACTTATATGCAGAATACATCATGCGAAAGGCTGGGCTGGATGAATCCCAAACTGGAATTAAGATTGCCGGAAGAAATATCAACAACCTCAGATATGCAGATGACACAACCTTGATGGCAGAAAGTGAGGAGGAATTAAAGAACCTTTTATTGAGGGTGAAAGAGGAGAGTGCAAAATATGGTCTGAAGCTCAACATCAAAAAAGCGAAGATCATGGCCACTGGTCCCATCACCTCCTGGCAAATAGAAGGGGAAGAAATGGAGGCAGTGAGAGATTTTACTTTCTTGGGCTCCATGATCACTGCAGATGGTGACAGCAGCCACGAAATTAAAAGACGCCTGCTTCTTGGGAGAAAAGCGATGACAAACCTAGACAGCATCTTAAAAAGCAGAGACATCACCTTGCCAACAAAGGTCCGTATAGTTAAAGCTTTGGTTTTCCAAGTAGTGATGCATGGAAGTGAGAACTGGACCAGAAAGAAGGCTGATCGCCGAAGAATGGATGCTTTTGAATTATGGTGCTGGAGGAGACTCTTGAGAGTCCCATGGACTGCAAGAAGATCAAACCTCTCCATTCTGAAGGAAATCAGCCCTGAGTGCTCACTGGAAGGACAGATCCTGAAGCTGAGGCTCCAATACTTTGGCCACCTCATGAGAAGAGAAGACTCCCTGGAAAAGACCTTGATGTTGGGAAAGATGGAGGGCACAAGGAGAAGGGGACAAGATGGTTGGACAGTGTTCTTGAAGCTACCAGCATGAGTTTGACCAAACTGCGGGAGGCAGTGGAAGACAGGAGTGCCTGGCGTGCTCTGGTCCAGGGGGTCACGAAGAGTTGGACACGACTAAACAACTAAACAATAACAACAAAAGAATTCGACTCCCTCAGGAGGTTGAGGGCTCTCCTTCCTTGGAGTTTGTTTTTTTAGCAGAGATTGGATGGCCATCTGCCAGGGAAGCTTTAGTCGAGATTCCTGCATTGCAGGGGGTTGGACTAGATGACTCTAGGGGTCCCTTCCAACTCCACAATTCTATAAAATGCATAACGGATCTTATGGGGGACTCTCCATCACTGGACTTTTTTTTTTAACTTTCTTGCAAAACGATTTACATATAACAACACAGACAAAGACAATATCTCAATGACAACTAAACATTAACTAACAACACATCTTATAACCTAAGGCCCAGGGCCCGGATGTGGCCCAATGGCCTTCTCAATCCGACCCGAGGACGGTCTGGGAATCAGCATGTTTTTACATGAGTAGAATGTGTCCCTGCTCACAAGTGTGACAAGAGTAGCTGCTTTGGACAGTGCCCAGGTTGGGGAGGGGAGGGGCGGGTTTGAAAGAGATGGGGATTTCCCTTGACATTTGGGTCCAGGCTGGTAGTTGGAGATACACTACCCCTGAACTTGGAGGCTCCATTAAGCCCCAGTGGCAAATAGCTGCACTGGCTTGCATCGAATGTTAAGAGTAGACCAGGGGTAGGCAACCTAAGGCCCAGGGGCCAGATGCGGCCCAATTGCCTTCTCAATCCGGCCTGCGGACAGTCCAGCAATCAGCGTGTTTTTACATGAGTAGAATGTGTCCTTTTATTTAAAATGCATCTCTGGGTTATTTGTGGGGCATAGGAATTCATCCATTTCCCCCTCCCAAAATATAGTCCAGCCCACCACATGGTCTGAGGGACGGTGGACCAGCCCATGACTGAAAAAGGTTGCTGACCCCTGGTCTAACATCACACACATTTTTGAGTTCCAATTCACCTCATTGTGCTCTCGACAAATTCTTAACCTTTACACAATTCCTGTTAATCTGTTACATACCCAGAAAATTTTATACATTTATAAAGGTAAAGGTAAAGGGACCCCTGACCATTAGGTCCAGTCGCAGACAACTCTGGGGTTGTGGCGCTCATCTCGCTTTATACAGCTTTATACAGGTCATGTGGCCAGCATGACTAAGCAGCTTCTGGCGAACCAGAGCAGCGCATGGAAACGCCGTTTACCTTCCCGCTGGAGTGGTACCTATTTATCTACTTGCACTGGTGTGCTTTCGAACTGCTAGGTTGGCAGGAGCTGTGACCAAGCAACGGGAGCTCACCCCATCACGAGGATTCGAACCGCCTATCTTCTGATCTGCAAGCCCTAGGCTTTGTGTTTTAACCCATAGCGCCACCCAAGTCCCTTCTACATTCATAAAGGTAAAGGTAAAGGTACCCCTGCCCGTACGGGCCAGTCTTGACAGACTCTAGGGTTGTGCGCCCATCTCACTCTATAGGCCGTGGGCCAGCGCTGTCCGGAGACACTTCCGGGTCACGTGGCCAGCGTGACAAAGCTGCATCTGGCGAGCCAGCGCAGCACACGGAAACGCCGTTTACCTTCCCGCCAGTAAGCGGTCCCTATTTATCTACTTGCACCCGGGGGTGCTTTCGAACTGCTAGGTTGGCAGGCGCTGGGACCGAGCAGCGGGAGCGCACCCCGCCGCGGGGATTCGAACCGCCGACCTTTCGATCGGCAAGCCCTAGGCGCTGAGGCTTTTACCCACAGCGCCACCCGCGTCTACATTCATAGTTACCCTTAATATTCAAGATTCAATTTAGACCTGTCAGGCGATTTGCATTTTCACGATATTGTTTTAGATATTCTTTAAATGTTATTCATACTTTACACCCTTTCTGGTTTGAGTTTCCTCTTATTATCACAGTCATTTTCGCAATTTCCAAGTATTCTATCATCGAGCTTTGTAGGAATTAGTCGCATTTCCAGTTTTTTGCTACAGTGGTACCTTGGGTTAAGTACTTAATTCGTTCCGGAGGTCCGTTCTTAACCTGAAACTGTTCTTAACCTGAAGCGCCACTTTAGCTAATGGGGCCTCCCGCTGCCGCCACACCGCTGCTCGCGATTTCTGTTCTCATCCTGAAGCAAAGTTCTAAACCCGAGGTACTATTTCTGGGTTAGCGGAGTCTGTAACCCGAGGTACCGCTGCATTCCAAGGCGCCGCCACAACCAAACCGCCGAGCTCCGCCCCGAGCCGCTTCCTAAACGCGGGCGGCGGGCTCTGCGGGTTCCGTGGGGCTGACTCCTCGTTCCCTCCGGCCGGGAGGCGGAGCGAGGCCCCGATTCCTCCCCCTTCGGTGGGGCGGGCTCTGCCATCAGCTGACTCGGCCGCCTCCGCCAACCCTCCCGCCGGCGCCGCAGGGGAGGAGCTGCGGCCGAGTCGGGCGGAGAACAAAACAAAGCCGCGCTCCGGGTCGGCGTCTGAACAGCCGCCAAGAGGAGCGAATCCGGTTTGGGCGCAATGGCAGCCCGGGGCTCGCAGACGAGGTCCAGGAGCTAAAGCGCCTTCAGCATCTTTGGGAATCGGAGTGAGTTGAATGATTGCGGTTGGGGGTTGTCCCCAGGGGAAGCAGGGTTCCTAACCCGGGGGTAGGGCACGATGTTTCCCCCGAGGTCAAACCAGGGCAGGTATTGTTTTAAAACCCTATTTTCCTTTCCCAGCTTAATTTCTTGATGCTAGTTCCATAGGTTTATCGTACTAGCCAAAGGCCAGGGTGATAAAAAATCGTGATGCTAAGTACAATATATTTATAAATTTTATATACCGCTTGATTATTTTTTTTAAAAAAAACCTTCTCAAAAGCAGTTTCCAAAAGGCAAAACGATAAAATTAGCACAAAAAAGTAACAACAATTTAAATAAAATAGCAATAGACTAAAAACAGATTAAAACCCGCATCATAATAATCTGGGGAGGCTTGCGTAAAAATGTTTTTAGCCAGCACCGAAAAGAGGAGAGTGAAGGCTCCTGCCTGATTTGAATGGGCAGGGAGTTCCAAAGTGCATCCACACAAGAAGATTGAGTTATTACTATCTATTGTTATTCCTTGATGACTGTCTTGCAAATGAAATGGAGACCACCTGGAGCTTAGGTTTATCAGGAGGCTGTTTCTCAGCAAGCCCCATCCCACCGAAGGCCTTGGGTGTGGTTCCTCCTTTCTTACAAAATAAAAAAGCCACTCTGCCTGTGCTCAGAGGCCTCCCTGTGTCCCAGAACTGCCCCCCAGGCTTGGAAAAAAAAAAGAAGGTCATGATTCAGCCTGGGGAAAACCTTATTATTAAGTGGAGTTTGGTAGGGAGGAAAATTTTTTTGTTCATTCTCTTTGATGGTATATTGAATGTTTTTTGATGGGTGGGAGAAGATGAATCGTGGCCCATTGCAACTGCTCCTCCTTTTACAAGACCTAATTATGTACTCCAAGTGGCTTCTTCATTTCCAGACCTCTGCAAAGGTGGAAAGCAGCGATAAACAAGAGTAACACTGGGCATGCACCGAGTATATTCCTCCATTTTTGCTCACAGCCAGTTTGGAATTCGCATCTTTGTGTTCCTTCCACCTGCTAGATCTGTCCTGGGGAAGGTCATTGTGGATGCTATTCTGGCTCCTTTTTTTTTTTTTTTTTTGCAACTCTCTTTATTTTTTTGAAACAGTCTCCCTATTCCTGCAGTGACCAATAAGAGGCTGACCCAAAAGTTCTGGCCCCTAGCTATAGCAAAGTAGATTTTCCCCACCAAATTTCCATCAAGCCAAACCCTCACTGTCCCTTCGGGACAGTTCCTTCTTGGCTACTGTGAGAGAGCAGGATATTCTCTAAATCATGGGTAGGCAAACTAAGGCCCTGGAGCCGGAGCCGGCCCAGTCGCCTTCTAAATCCGGCCTGTGGACAGTCCAGGAATCAGCGTGTTTTTACATGAGTAGAATGTGCCCTTTTATTTAAAAGGCATCTCTGGGTTATTTATGGGGCATAGGAATTCGTTCTTTCCACCCGCAAAAGCCCTCACAAGATCTGAGGGACAGTGGACCGGCCCCCTGCTGAAAAAGTTTGCTGACCTCAGCTCTAAATTCTCCAAGTGATCTTTGTCCATGAGGGCTGATGGTTTTGTGACCTCTTTTACACCCGGATCTGTAGAATGAAAAACAGCCTTTTGTCCTCACCTAGAACAGACCAGCGATGTGGGGCTGGGGAGACTCCACTGGACTTCTTCTCAGACAAACATTCGGATAGCAAACTAGGTCACAGTGTGGTAAATACTGAAGTGGTTTGTCACCCTCCTGTTTACACACACCAAGGTGAAGCGCTCCAGAATCTGGTCTTGCCTTTGGACTCCAGTCAGAAAGTTGTTTTAAAAAAAAATAAAAATATTTTCACTTTCTTGTTTGGCTGGCAAAAAAAAGAAGAAGAAGAAGAAGAAAAAAGAATTCAGCTTTAGAAGACCAAACTCTCTCTCTCTCTCTCTCTCTATCTCTCTCTCTCTCTTTCTCTCTCTGTGTGTGTGTCAGAATGAAAAATAAATTTTGTGCTGAAATGACGATTTCTCTGTGTCTGCAAAGCAAGAATATGTGCTAGGGTGGGCAATTCTTGCCGGCTAAAGTCCTCTCTCTTTTCCTTTGCCAGTGGGATTGTGAAAGGGCTCCCTGCTCACGAGCCAAGTGTGACTCTTCCTTCAGCTGTTTTTTTCAGTATGCAAAATGCTGATGGCCCTCGTGTCAGCTGTCCAGATCCCAGAAAAAGTGCTTTGTAAGAGTAGCTGCTTTGGACAGTGCCCAGGGAGGGGAGGGGCGGGTTTGAAAGAGATGGGGGATTTCCCTTGACATTTGGGTCCAGACTGGTAGTTGGAGATACACTACCCCTGAACTTGGAGGCTCCATTAAGCCCCAGTGGCAAATAGCTGTACAGTGGTACCTCGGGTTACATACGCTTCAGGTTACAGATTCTGCTAACCCAGAAATATTACCTCAGGTTAAGATCTTTGCTTCAGGATGAGAACAGAAATCGTGCTCCAGCGGCGCGGCAGCAGCAGGAGGCCCCATTAGCTAAAGTGGTGCTTCAGGTTAAGAACAGTTTCAGGTTAAGTACGGACCTCCAGAACGAATTAAGTACTTAACCCGAGGTACCACTGTACAGGCTTGCATCGAATGTTAAGAGTAGACCAGGGGTAGGCAACCTAAGGCCCGGAGGCCGGATGCGGCCCAGTTGCCTTCTCAATCTGGCCCGCGGACGGTCCGGGAATCAGCGTGTTTTTAAATGAGTAGAATGTGTCCTTTTACTTAAAAGGCATCTCTGGGTTATTTGTGGGGCATAGGAATTTGTTCATTTATTTTTTTTCAAAATACAGTCTGGCCCACCACGTAGTCTGAGGGACGGTGGACCGGCCCACGGCTGAAAAAGGTTGCTGAGCCCTGGAGTAGACCAACCACACAGTTTGGCTAATTTAGGTTCATTCATTTCAGTGGGTCTGCTTAGTTGGATAAAGGTAAAGGTAAAGGGACCCCTGACCATTAGGTCCAGTGGTGGTCGACTCTGGGGTTGCGGCGCTCATCTCGCTTTATTGGCCGAGGGAGCCGTCGTACAGCTTCCGGGTCATATGGCCAGCAGGACTAAGCCACTTCTGGCGAACCAGAGTAGCACACGGAAACGCCGTTTACCTTCCCGCCGGAGCAGTACCTATTTATCTACTTGCACTTTGACGTGCTTTTGAACTGCTAGGTTGGCAGGAGCAGGGACCGAGCAACGGGAGCTCACCCCGTCCCGGGGATTCGAACTGCCGACCTTATGATCGGCAAGCCCTAGGCTCTGTGGTTTAACCCACAGCGCCACCCGCGTCCCTTGCTTAGTTGGATACAACCCTTTAAACTAGCCTCCTCCAACCTGATTCCCTCTAGATGTTTGTTTAGCGTTCTAGGTTAAAATTATGGATTAAAATTTGTGTCTGAGAAGGCTTTACCTAAAGGGGAAAGTTTTTCGCAGGCATCAGGAAGAATACAATTGAGACATTTGACCAATGTCAATTAGCAGGGAGTTTCAGAGTGCAGCCACACTAAAAGACTGGTTCCTATGACACTTATTTCTTTCCTTTCTTCCTTGGCAGGTTCACGGTTCGGCTATGGACCAACAATCCTGCCTCTTATGTTTCGTGTGACATCTGCGGCCTTGCCTCCCTTTCCCTAAATTCCCTAAATTGAGCCTTTGCTCAGATAAGCGCGATGCCGGTTCATCTGCAAATGATCGGCTCCCTGAGCATGAATTTTTCTGATTGCCCCAATGGCTCCCAGTGGGTTTGGGAGATATTCCACGAATGTGCCCAGGATGGCTGGGACATATCCAGTGTGGTGCTGGGCTTGCTCTCCATCTTCTGCTTTGCTGCAGCGTCTTTCCCGTAAGTAACAAAAAGCAAAAACAACAACGGTTGCTTCCTCTTTGGTTGCCTTGAGAGATCAGATCTCCTAATTGAAGAACTCAACAACCCACTGCTGGAATGACGGGCGAGTTTCTCATTGCTAACCAACCCTGACGCAACATATATTTTTTTGGGAGACATGAGTCACTTCCCGCTCGAGCAAGTCTCCTGCTGCCCTTAGGAAACTCCGAGCTTTCCTCTTTTCGCCTTCCTTTGCAATGGCAACGACAAAATCCCTCCAAATGAGACACGAAGCTCATGTGGCTGGTAGTGCGCCCTGCGCTGCAACATTTTGTTGCAGGTTTTCAGCTACGTTGTCTCTTAAAGTAAAGCCCAGGAAATAGATCTACTTATTACTCACCAAATGGATCCAGGGCAGGTTGTGAAAACATCATTTAAAATGAAGTGCATAGGTGAAGCAGCGGTCGTTACTTGCTTCAGATGTCTTGAGGAAGATCGCTGTGTGGCAAAATGGTTGCAGGCTAGGTGGCCCATTGACCCTGATACAGCAGCTCTTCTTACATTCTTAAATACATGTATATCTTTTTGCCCAGGCTTTCCTTGACCCAATATTGAAGACCCTGTCTTTATTTGTCTGAATTCCCTGAAATTTTATTTGTTTTTGTCTGCTTTTCTGCTCACCAGAACTTACTTAACCAGGCCTTTGGTTGATTTGATTGACATCCTATGGCCTTTTAAAATGTGGTGGGTTGTTTTTTGGGGGGTGGGGAGTGATTGGGCGCTGTTGTTGTTTTTTATATTGATTATGTCTTTTGTGGTTTTATATTTTGATTTTATTCTCTGAACTGCCCTGAGACCTCCAGGTATAGGGCGGTATATAAATTCAACAGATAAAATTAAAAAATAAACAAATGTTTTGCTGTTTACACCTTGCATTTTTGTTTCAGCGATGTTGTTTGTTCTTGCATCCTACACTTTTTAGAGATTAAAAAATATCATGCAGTTTATGCATACTTTAAAATAAATGAATGTAAAATAAAACCCGTAAAACCAACTAATATCAAAGTAGCAAAACAGAAGCACAGAACTATCTGTATATATAAAAAGCAATATTGTAACCGTGTGTGTATGTGTGTCTGTGTGTGTCTACATGCAGACTTCTACAATCTTACTTTTTTTTGACTGGGGGGCCTGGTCACCTGGAGATATAATGTGCTTGCCCTAGGTGACCAAGCAAAGCTTGACCAGCAAGCCTACTCTAACTGCTTCTTCCTCCAATGTCTCCCCTCTGTAGCCAATACTACCTGGCCTGTAAAACTGGGATTATGGACCAGGCCTTATCTGTCTACTTCCTGTTGGGATGGTTAGGAGGAGATTCTTTAAACCTGATTGGGTCGTTCTTGGCTGACCAGCTACCACTACAGGTAAGAAGAGCCTTTCTGGAGCAGAGTGAACTGAACTGAAATGGATGCCCTCATCCACATTTTGCGTGGTTTAAAATAGGACCACTTTGTTTTGCCCTGGTCAGACCTCACCTGGGAGTCCTTTGTCCAGTTCTGGGCATCCAATCCAGATCTGCATTGGCTCCCAGTACGTTTCCGAGCACAATTCAAAGTGTTGGCGCTGACCTTTAAAGCCCTAAACGGCCTTGGCCCAGTATACCTGAAGGAGCGTCTCCACCCCCATCGTTCTGCCCGGACACTGAGGTCCAGCGCCAAGGGCCTTCTGGCGGTTCCCTCATTGCGAGAAGTGAGGCTACAGGGAACCAGACAGAGGGCCTTCTCGGTAGTGGCACCCGCCCTGTGGAATGCCCTCCTATTAGATGTCAAAGAGATAAACAACTACCTGACATTCAGAAGACATCTGAAGGCAGCCCTGTTCAGGGAAGTTTTAAATATTTAACGCTGTACTGTTTTTAACACTTGATTGGGAGCCACCCAGAGTGGCTGAGGAAACTCAGCCAGATGGGCGGGGTATAAATAATAAATTATTATTATTATTATTTATTATGAAGGAAATAAGCAGCTATCTTATCTTTAAAAAACATCTTAAGGCAGCCCTGTTTAGGGAAGTTTTTAATATTTAACGCTGTACTGTTTTTAACACTTGATTGGGAGCCGCCAGATAGGCAGGGTATAAATAAATAAATAAATTATTATTATTATTATTATTATTATTATTATTATTATTATTATTATTATTATTATTATTGTCATCATCCCAGTTTAAGGATATTGACCAGCTGGAATGGGTGCTGAGGAGGGGGACCCAAGAGGATCAAGGGTAGGCATAGGCTAGGTTACCAAATGTCCCCGGTTCCCAGGGACAGTCCCCGGATTTGCAAATCTGTCACCGGACAAAGTCCGTCCCTGGAATGTCCCCATATTTGAATATCTGTCCCCGGGAAACGTGACAGCGGCAGCCCCAGCAGCCCGGAGGCAGTCTGGTAGCGCAGTTGGCTTTGGCTGGCTTCAGGAGCTGCTCGCTGCCGCCACCACTGCCAAAGGTGAACCAGGGACGCCTGGCGCTACCGATCTCCTGCCCCCTTCCCTTTTGTTTTGACAGATCGGGGGAGGCTCAGGAGTCGTGGGCGGGCGGCCGTTGCCTAGGAGGGGCGCAAGGCGCGTGGTTTCTCTTCCAGGCAAGGTGCAAAGCCCTTCTTTCGCACCCTGCAAAACATAAATGCGCAGAGTTTTTTAAAAGGCAGCCCTGTTTAGGGAAGCTTTTAATGTTTAATAGGTTATTGTATTTTAGTGTTCTGTTGGAAGCCACCCAGAGTGGCTGGGGAAACTCAGCCAGATGGGCGGGGTATAAATAATAAATTATTATTATTATTAATATTAATTATTATTAAAAAAACTGGGCAACGACCGCCCCCTGCGACTCCAGAGCCTCCCCCGATCTGTCAAAACAAAGGGGGAGGGGGCAGGAGATCAGGGAAGGTTTGGGAATTGTGGGCAGGCAGCACGCCATTGCACAGTTTTTAAAAAAAGTTTTTTATGTTTCACAGGGTGCGAAAGAAGGGCTTTGCACCTTTATACAATATGCATGTGTGCTTGGGCCCAGGGTCTTTTGCCTCACCATCCCCACTACTGACTCCCTGTTGCTACTCAGCTTAAAAAAAAAAAAAAAGTGTCCCGGATTCATTGAAAAAAATCTGGTAACCATAGCATAGGCAAACTCCAGCCCTCCAGATGTTTGGGACTACAATTCCCATCATCCCTAGCTAACAGGACCAGCTGTCAGGGATGATGGGAATTGTAGTCCCAAACATGTGGAGGGCCAGAGTTTGCCTATGCCTGATCAAGGGTCTGGAAACCAAGCCATATGAGGAATGGTTGAGGGAGTTGGGGATGTTTAGCCTGGAAAAGAGGAGACATCATAGCCATCTATCTCAATGGCTGTCACATGGAAGATGGAACAAGCTTGTTTTCTCCTGCTCCGGAGGGTAGGACTCGAACCCATGGCTTCAAGTTACCAGACAGTAGATTCCGACTAAGCGTCAGGAATGACTTTCTGCCTATAAGAGCTGTTTGACAGGGGAACGGACTTCCTTTGGAAGGTGACGGGATGCTCCTTCATGTGAGGTTTTAAAACACAGGTTGGGTCAGAGATTCTTCAGCGATGATTCTTGCATTGAACCATGGGGTTGGTCTAGATGACCCTCGGGTCCCTTCCAACTCTACAATTCCGAGATTCTGTGGAAATGAATTCAGTGAAAGAACGTGATTTGTGACTGCAGTTTAGGGCAATCGTTTTTCCACACTTGATCACTTTGCCGAATCGGTATAGCCTGTGGGTGCAGAATTTTAATTCTTTTAAATTCAGAGTTGCTGTTGACAGCCCTCTTCTCTTTCTCTTTCTCTCTCTCTTTCTCTCTTTCTTTCTCTGCCACAGGTATACACAGCCATCTATTACGTACTGGCAGACCTGCTTATGATGTCCCTCTACCTCTATTACAAAGTCAAGAACCAGAACCGAACCTGTAAGTTTCAACTCACTAACACGGGTCAAGGAAAGCAGACTTTGCAAAACATTAAACAGTTGTAACTTTTTTAAAAACCCAAAACATTAGCCCTGTTTTCAGGAAATATCTTCAACACAAGTTGGGGCCCCATTTTAGGGTTTGGGGCATGCAACTTAATTCTAGTTTTTACCTCTGGGCATGTGCAGAGTTCTCTGCCCTACTTTGCCTATGGTTAACAACGAACCAAAGTGCCAGGGCTGCAGTTTTCCTGGAATACCCTTTAAACCTTTCTACTCAATGCTCACCGACTTCCAGGGTGGAATGCAAGCTGGTGTGGGTGTGCGCTCTGTACATGCTCTAATGCTTACTTAATTGGCTCCAGGGCTCAACATCTACCCTGCCACTGCATAACCACGTTCCTGTCCTATACATTTTAACTGTTGTCAGTTTGTATAGTGCCATCAGTTTGTGTGATGCTTTAGAGTACAAAAGGGCAGATTGTTGTCTCAAAACACCTACAATCTAAAGTTTGGCAGGGATTCATAAATTAGAAGCCCTGGGTCAATCTTAAATCGTAATCCTTAAATCTTTCCCCACCCTTTAAAACAAAGGACTTGCCTCTCCATCTTGTTAATTCCATCAAACCTTTTTTTTTTTTTTAAACCAATCCTTTCTGTAGATCTGTTAACTCTGTGAACAACTTCCTGGCTGCTGATAGTGAATTTATCTCTTCCTCTTTTTTTGAGATATTTTAACACTGTGAGGCTGAAGGTCAGTGGCCGGGTGTCATTTTGAGACTGTTCCCCTAAAGGAAAATCTGTTACTGATGTCATAATTCTGGGAAACCCCAAATGTACCCCCAAAAAGTCACAGTAGGGCAAAACATTACTAATAATGATTTATTATTGACTAATTGCACTTTCCCCCTCTATTGAGCTCATGTAATCCCCACAACAATCCGGGGCGGTAGGTTAGACTGAGAGGGCAGGTACTGGCCCCCAGTGAGCCCAATAATAATAATAATAATTAATAATAATAATTTTTATTTATACCCCGCCCTCCCCAGCCAAGGCCGGGCTCAGGGCAGCTAACAAGCAATAATAAAAACAAGTTGAATGAATACAACTTAAAAACAAGATTAAAATACAACATTAAAATATTAAAACATTAAAATATTAAAATGCAGCCTCATCACAGGAGGAGAAAGGAAAAGAAAAAAGAAAGAGGGGGCAGATTTGAACCCTGTTCTCTCCCAGGTTCTGGCAAAACAGTCTAACCACTACGCCACACTGCCTCTCATATCCCAACTTTCCTCCAAGTGGCATACGTAGAATCATAGAATCATAGAGTTGGAAGAGACCACAAGGGCCATCGAGTCCAACCCCCTGCCAAGCAGGAAACACCATCAGAGCACTCCTGACATATGGTTGTCAAGCCTCTGCTTAAAGACCTCCAAAGAAGGAGACTCCACCACACTCCTTGGCAGCAAATTCCACTGTCGAACAGCTCTTACTGTCAGGAAGTTCTTCCTAATGTTTAGGTGGAATCTTCTTTCTTGTAGTTTGGATCCATTGCTCCGTGTCCGCTTCTCTGGAGCAGCAGAAAACAGCCTTTCTCCCTCCTCTATGTGACATCCTTTTATATATTTGAACATGGCTATCATATCACCCCTTAACCTCCTCTTCTCCAGGCTAAACATGCCCAGCTCCCTTAGCCGTTCCTCATAAGGCATCGTTTCCAGGCCTTTGACCATTTTGGTTGCCCTCCTCTGGACACGTTCCAGTTTGTCAGTGTCCTTCTTGAACTGTGGTGCCCAGAACTGGACACAGTACTCCAGGTGAGGTCTGACCAGAGCAGAATACAGTGGCACTATTACTTCCCTGGATCTAGATACTATACTCCTATTGATGCAGCCCAGAATTGCATTGGCTTTTTTAGCTGCTGCGTCACACTGTTGGCTCATGTCAAGTTTGTGGTCAACCAAGACTCCTAGATCCTTTTCACATGTACTGCTCTCAAGCCAGGTGTCCCCCATCTTGTATTTGTGCCTCTCATTTTTTTTGCCCAAGTGCAATACTTTACATTTCTCCCTGTTAAAGTTCATCTTGTTTGTTTTCGCCCAGTTCTCTAATCTGCCAAGGTCATTTTGAAGTGTGATCCTGTCCTCTGGGGTGTTAGCCACCCCTCCCAGTTTGGTGTCATCTGCAAATTTGATCAGGATGCCCTTGAGTCCATCATCCAAGTCGTTGATAAAGATGTTGAATAAGACCGGGCCCAAGACAGAACCCTGTGGCACCCCACTAGTCACTCTTCTCCAGGATGAAGAGGAACCATTGATGAGCACCCTTTGGGTTCGGTCAGTCAGCCAGTTACAAATCCACTGAGTGGTAGCATAGTCAAGACCGCATTTTACCAGCTTCTTTACAAGGCTATCATGGGGCACCTTGTCAAATGCCTTGCTGAAATCAAGGTAGGCTACATCCACTGCGTTCCCTTCATCTACCAGGCTTGTAATTCTGTCAAAAAACGAGATCAGGTTAGTCTGACATGACTTATTTTTCAGAAATCCATGCTGACTATTGGTGATCACAGCATTCCTTTCTAGGTGCTCACAGACTGTTTGCTTAATGATCTGCTCCAGAATCTTCCCTGGTATTGATGTCAGACTGACTGGGCGGTAATTATTTGGGTCCTCTCTTTTCCCCTTTTTGAAAATAGGGACAACATTTGCCCTCCTCCAGTCTGCCGGGACTTCGCCTGTTCTCCAGGAATTCTCAAAGATGACTGCCAGTGGTTCTGAGATCACATCTGCCAGTTCTTTTAATACTCTTGGATGCAGTTCATCTGGCCCTGGAGACTTGAATACATCTAAACTAGCCAAGTATTCTTGTACTATCTCCTTAGTTATTCTGGGCTGTGTTTCCTCTGCTGAATCATTTGCTCCAAATTCTTCAGGTCGGGCATTGTTTTCTTTATCGGAGAAGACTGAGGCAAAGAAGGCATTGAGGAGTTCAGCCCTTTCTGTGTCCCCTGTTTGCATTTCACCATCTTCTCCTCTGAGTGACCCCACTGTTTCTTTGTTCTTCCTTTTGCTACGGACATACCCATAAAAGCCTTTTTTGTTGCTTTTAACCTCTCTAGCAAGCCTGAGTTCATTTTGTGCTTTAGCTTTTCTGACTTTGTGTCTACACGTGCTGGCTATTTGTTTGAATTCCTCTTTGGTGGTTTCCCCCCTTTTCCATTTTTTGTACACATCCTTTTTTAGTCTTAACTCAGTTAAAAGTTCTTTAGATAGCCACCCTGGCTTCTTTAGGCACCTTCCATGTTTCCGTCTCATTGGTATTGCCTGAAGTTGTGCTTTTACTATCTCCCTCTTAACAAACTCCCAGCCATCATGAACTCCCTTTCCTTTTAGTATTACTGTCCATGGGATCTCACCCAGCACTTCCCTAAGTTTTATGAAGTCGGCTTTCTTAAAGTCAAGAAATTGAGTCCTAGTATGCTTGGCTGCTCCTTTCCACTGTATAGTAAACTTCAGAAGAGCATGATCACTCGCGCCTAATGATCCTTCCACTTCTACCCCACTAACCAGGTCCTCAACATTGGTTAGGACCAGATCTAAAATGGCTGTTCCTCTTGTTGCTTCTCCCACTTTCTGGACAATGAAGTTGTCTGCAAGTCCAGTGAGGAATCTGTTTGACCTTATGCTCTTGGCTGAGTTTGACATCCAACAAATATCCGGGTAATTGAAGTCCCCCATTACTATTATCTCCCTTCCTTTTGCATGCTTGGCCATCTGTTCCAGGAAGGCATCATCTATGTCCTCCGTTTGGCTTGGGGATCTATAGTAAACTCCCACAATGAGGTCTCTGTTATTCTTCTCTCCCTTAATTTTGACCCAAATGCTCTCACTTTGGCTTTGAGGTTCTAAATCTTGGATCTCTTCACAGGTATACACATCCCTGACATATAACGCCACTCCTCCTCCTTTCTTGTCTGGTCTGTTTCTCTGAAATAGATTGTATCCCTCCATTATTACATTCCAATCGTGGGACTTATCCCAGCAGGTTTCAGTGATGCCTATTATGTCATATTTAGTTTGCTGTACCAAGAGCTCAAGCTCATCTTGTTTATTTCCCATGCTTTGCGCATTAGTGTACAGACATTGAAGTCCATTAATCATTCCCCCGTGTCTCTTATTTAAGGATTTTTTCCTCCCACCACTAGGTCTGTGTGCTCTTTGCTCCATTTGGTCTATGACATTTGGATTATCATCTTCATCAATTGATAGACTCCTACCTTCAGGAGCACTGTCTCCCTCCCCCACATTAGTCAGTTTAAAGCCCTCCTGATGAGGTTTCTGAGATTTTTGGCAAAAACATTCCTCCCAACCGTTGTGAGGTGCAGCCCATCGCTTGCCAGAAGTCCATCTTCAAGAAACTGCAGTCCGTGATCTAAGAATCCAAACCGTTCCTGTTTACACCATTTGCGAAGCCAGCTGTTCACTTCCACTATTTTTCCCTCTCTCCCTGGGCCATGTCCTTCAACTGTGAGGACAGATGAGATGACAATTTGTGCATTTAATTGCTTCAATTTCCTGCCCAGAGCCTCGTAGTCTCTTTTGATCCTCTGGAGGCTATTGCTTGCAGTGTCATTGGTTCCCACATGAACCAAGAGGAAGGGGTATTTGTCAGTGGGTTTTATGATTCCTTGCAGTTACATTCAGTTCAGTTACATCTTGGATCTTAGCCCGATCCATTTTGCCCTCACGAAAACAACCCTGCGGGCTAGAATAGGCCGAGAGGCAGTGACGGGCCCAAGCTCCCTCAGCGAGCTTTGCGGCTGAGTGGGGTCTGCTGTCCCAGGTCCTAGGCTGATGCTCCAAACCACTACGCCACACTGCTGAAATGTTGGGGAAATTGTCAGGCAGAAGCTTGCTGCATTGGTCCAGCTCTGAGGGCCTTCTGGTGGTTCCCTCACTGCGAGAAGTGAGGTTACGGGGAACCAGGCAGAGGGCCTTCTTGGTAGTGGCACCCACCCTCCCATCAAGGAAATAAACAACCATCTGACTTTTAGAAGACATCTGAAGGCAGCCTGTATAGAGAAGTTTTTAATGTTTGATGTTTTAGTATGTTTTTATACAGGGGTCAGCAAACTTTTCAACAGGGGGCCGGTCCATTGTCCCTCAGACCTTGTGAGGGGCTGGACTATATTTTGGGAAAAAATAATGAACAAATTCCTATGCCCCACAAATAACCCAGAGATGCATTTTAAATAAAAGGACACATTCTACTCATGTAAAAACACGCTGATTCCCGGACCGTCCGTGGGCTGGATTGAAAAGGCAATTGGGCCGGATCCGGCCCCCGGGCCTTAGGTTGCCTACCCCTGTGTTAGACGATGTGTTGTTAGTTAATATTTAGTTGTCATTGAGATATTGTCTTTGTGTTGTTATATGTAAATTGTTTTCAATAACAATTGCAAACCCATATTTTTATATGTCCCAGAGTGGCTGGGGCAACCCAGCCAGAGGGGCAGGATACAAATAATAAAATTATTATTATTACTTTGGGGAACTTTTTAAGGGGGTTTCCCATCCCCTTGTTCACACACACACACCCCCCGTCAGTTTTCTGGCTTATTCTAAACTCTGGCCAGTTTTCTGCCTTATCCTAAACCAACTTCCCTCTTTCCCTCCTCAGTCTCCGCTTCAATCAATGCCGCTTTTGCGTTCCTTGTTGTGGGAACAGTGTCTGTGACCTCCTTCCTGGGCAGACCCTCCTCTCTTCCCGGAGATGACACTGCGTCCTTCAGAGGGAGGATGCTTCTCTCGTCCGCAGAAGATCGTCCTGGGTGGGAGGTATGCTTGTTTATTTGTTTCACCTAAAGATCAGAAGCTGGAGGTCATGTGAGGCTCAGGGCAAGCCTGGTGCTCAGGTTTCTGCTAGAAGAAACCCCTCCCAATTTATGACATAGTTATGACAAATGTATGATGTTTCACTAAGGGTGTTATGGGTAATTTGGAAAACCTATAAAAAGGGGGGGGGGACGCGGGTGGCGCTGTGGGTTAAACCACAGAGCCTAGGGCTTGCCGATCAGAAGGTCAGCGGTTCGAATCCCCGCGATGGGGTGAGCTCCTGTTGCTCGGTCCCTGCTCCTGCCAACCTAGCAGTTTGAAAGCACATCAAAGTGCAAGTAGATAAATAGGTACCGCTCCAGTGGGAAGGTAAACGGCGTTTCCGTGCGCTGCTCTGGTTCGCTAGAAGCGGCTTAGTCATGCTGGACACATGACCCGGAAGCTGTATGCCGGCTCCCTCGGCCAGTAAAGCGAGATGAGCGCCACAACCCCAGAGTTGTCCATGACTTAATGGTCAGGGGTGGGCACCAGGGGGAAAAGGCTTTGTCAATCCCACCTGCCAATGGACCCAGTCTGTTTCGACTTTACACTATTTTGCCTTTACACACTGTTCCCAGAAAATAACTCCACTGTAAACTGAGAGCTGTCTATATTTCCTTATTCTTGAAAAACTAATAAAAAATATTTTCAAAAAATAGAGGAGGGGAGCCAGAGGGTGGTGGGCTGGTTTGGGCAGAATTAATTTTAAACCTGTTCCGTTCTTGGGCCATTTATTTATTTTTAACGGCCTCGTTTCCTTCCGCAGCCTTTCACCCAGCAAGAAATCATTGGCTTCATTATCGGGTCTGTTTCGTCTGTACTCTACCTGCTTTCCCGGGTCCCACAGATCTACACGAATGTAAGCTGCGCCCGGGAAATGGGGCAGGGTGTGTTTCAGTAGCAACGGCTCTTTCAGGCTGGCTTGGGAGGGAGGCTTTAAGTATCTCAGTGGCAGAGCAACTGCTCTGCATGTCGAAGTTCCTGGGTTCAACTCCCAGTGGATTTCCAGATAGGGCCAGGAGAGACAGGGCGTCTGAAGTCCTGGGTGGCTACTGCCAGTCAGAGAAGATCAAGCTAAATGGAGCAGTGGTCTGACTCAGTATAAGGGCAGCTGACTTTGCTTTTGTTTAAATGGGCCCTTTTCTTTGAACCATGAGGACTAGAATTTTACTTTTAAAAAAAAACTTATTGATACAGTGGTACCTCGGGTTACATACGCTTCAGGTTACATACTCTGCTAACCCAGAAATAGTGCTTCAGGTTAAGAACTTTGCTTCAGGATGAGAACAGAAATCGTGCTCTGGCAGCGCGGCGGCAGCAAGAGGCCCCATTAGCTAAAGTGGTGGCTCAGGTTAAGAACAGTTTCAGGTTAAGAACGGACCTCCAGAACAAATTAAGTTCTTAACCCAAGGTACCACTTTAAATGCAACACTTACAAACACAAAACCAACTTATTGTACATAGATACATACACCTCTCAACTTAGATTACAAAAAAAGAAAAAAGAAAACATACAAACATAAATCTTGGCTTCCCTCCACCTGTTCGTGGCCTCCTTTGTTTCTTTTCTTCTTTTTGCTGTGTTATATTATTTTTGACTTGTCTCATCTTATACCCGTTTCTTCTTAATTTTTTACTCTATAAGTTTCATTCATTGCATATTGATATATTAATAATAGAACCATGTTTTTTGATGTATTTCTTCATGCAAGTCCACTCTATCAGTTTTTGGTCTGATTGGCTTCTTACCACTGCTGTAAGTCTTGCTGATTCTATATATTCACAAAATCTTATTTGCCATTCTCTTATTGAGGGAGTTTTTTCTCCCTTCCAATTTTTTGCTATAATCATTTTGGCCGCAGCAGTTGCATATAAGAAAACTTTTTCCCTAGCGGCAGGAATATAGAATTTTACTTTCTTTTTAGCAGGTGGCAGAGCATTCTGCTTTGAATGCACGTGATCTGAGGTTCCAAAAGGTTGGGCTGCTGGTGAGGGGAAAGGCCCTTCCCTGGCCTGTGGCCCTGGAGAGCGGCTGCCAGTCAGAGTAGACTGTATGGGGCTAGATGGTTGAATAGTCTGACCTGATCCAAAGCAGGCTTTGCTCATTTTCTGCAGTGGCTGCGGCTGGGTGGGAGAGAGATCACAAGTGGCCATCAGGAGCTCAGCTCAGTTTGGCTGCTAGAAACAAACCTTTTGCACCTGATAGATCTGAAGAACGCAAGTACAGCCTGGCTACTGGATCAGACCAATGGCTCATCTATTCCAGTTCTGACACCCAGATGCCCCAAAGGGAAGCTCAGAAGCAGGACCTGAGCCCATCGCTCTTGTGATTCCCAGCATTCAATATCTAGAGTTTTACTGCCTCCAGTCAGAGCATAGCCATCATGGCTAGTAGCCGTTGATTTGGGATTCTAGTAAAAAAAAACAACCCAATGTAGATCTGAGAAGCCTGAAGTCTGCTTCTGTCTGCACGATTCCAAACGCATCTGCGTTGTTTGACTTAGATGTCCACAACTGCACCCCATTCTTCCCAATTCTCTGATAGGTGTTCAGTCCCTGAAGGAATTGCCAGGTAAGGCTGGGAAAAGACTCCCTGCCAGAAAACCTTGAGAGCTGCGATTGTTGTTGCTGTTGCTGCTAATAATAATAATAATAATAATAATAATAATAATAATAATAATAATTTATTATTTATACCCCACCCATCTGGGTTTCCCCAGCCATTCTGGGCGGCTTCCAATAGAACACTAAAATACAATAACCTATTAAACATTAAAAGCTTCCCTAAACAGGGCTGCCTTGATAATTGCAATTCTTCTTAACTTACCCTGCAGTTCAAGAGGAAATCGACCGTCGGCATATCTTATTCTCTCTTCGCTCTGGTGATGCTGGGGAACACTTTGTACGGACTCAGCGTCCTGCTGAAAAACCCGGATTGGGGCCAAGCTGAAGGCAGCTACGTCATCCACCACCTCCCATGGCTGATTGGCAGTTTGGGAGTCCTGGCTCTCGACATCATTGTATCCTGTTTCTGTCTGCCCCGACACCCCCACCCCCAGCCAGAGTTCACATTTTTTTTACGTTTCTGCAGAGGCAAAATCCCGTGCAGAGATGAGAATTCTGTAGACAATGCATCATAGTGGTTAGAGCCATACCTTTTAATTATTTACCCAAGGAATCAACTCTCTGCTTACTGAGTGATGTTGGGCCTAAGCTACCAAACAGGCCTGCATGGGTAAAACTGGGATTGGGTCCACCTACGCCAGCTCAGCTCCTGGGAGGAAAGTGGGTCTACTCTGCTGCATCTTCTCTTCTGCTCCTCTGCCCTGTCTTCATGCAAATCCAGAATTGTGATGAAACATTCCAATGGGGCTGTGTGACGACAGCCTTATGTTTTTATCTATATAGGAAGATATATGTTGCTGCCTTGATTTCTTTTCTCTCTTTTTTTGCAACACCACATTTAAGTAGCAAGGGTCTTTAAAAAAAAATAAAAGGATCACACAGATTAATTTGATTTTTTTTTAAAAAAAATATTTATTAAGAGTTTCAAAATTACAAAAAGAAAGGAGAAAAAAAGAAGAGACAACACTACAATACATAAAAAACAAAAAAACAAAAAAACCAATACAACACCACAACAACAAAAAGAAAAAGATACAAATCCCATATTACATATCTTTACCTTTCATTTGCTTGTTTCATTGACCTCCTCACACCTCCCTTTTTGTATTCTAGCTTAATTAGTTGTTTCAGCAAATTCTTTCCATCTTTCTCAATTTTTATTAAATAATTTATCTTAACAGTCTAACCTATTACTTAACTCAGCAGATCCTTTCCATCTTTCACCATATTCTGTTATTCAATTTGCCTTAATTTATTTCACCTTATCTTACCGTAAAATACCTTAGAGCTTAAAACTTAATACTTATTTATACATAACTCCTTATATCATTTCTACTAAAGCCAGATAGTTTCATTCCAACATTTCCCCTAATATTCATTAATTTACACTAATTCCCAAAATAACATTTTTTCTTTATAAACTTTCTTCCAATCTCCATCCAACGTCCCTTCTTCCTGGTCTCGGGTTATGTCAGTCCTTACTGTCCATTCCATCTAGTCCATCAACCTGGTAATCTTATGTCCGAGGCTCTTAAGTCTCTTCCATGCCCCTTCTGCAGATCTTCTTCTTCTTGTTTATACTTGCACTTTTCCTTGTCTTTTGTTGGTCTCTTTCTTTCCTTTCTCATTGAGGAGTAGGTCTCTGGGGGGTTCCAGCCCAAAATTGTCTCCCCTCATCAGACCAGCCCATTCCCCAGAGTCCCACTCCCCGCAGTCATCAACGTAATCCAGAAAATATTTAACAGCATGTTTCAAAGCCCCTCGGAAATTAAGAGGCTCCTCAGCTCCAGACTTCCCCTGGCCCACTCCAAATTCAGTCTTCAAAAACAGTGGCTTATGCTCCTGCAGGGCCTCAGATCTCTCCATTTGTATTACTTGAGGTGCTACCGCAACCTCGTCCATTATCTTCTGCACTTGTACTTGCCCAGTTAAAACAGGTTCCTGAGTTGGTCCCTGAATGATTTCTGTATCAGTATTCCCTGCAGCCATCATCAAATCCATCTTTTCATTCATCAAATCCATCTTCTCATGCATCTGCTCCAACAGAGCACTTGTCTTGCAAAGAGCAAGCACCAAAGCTTCCTCCCAACACATTTTTGTCCAAGGTCAAAAGACTGGTCCCACGATCTTAATCTTACAGCTGTAGAGTCCCCAAGCAGACTGCAGCAACAATTTAACAAGCTCCCTCTAGAGGAGACAATTTCTATTTGTAACCGTCTTTTTAAAGCAAGTCCAACCAAGGAAGATTACTTTCATTTTTCAAATATTTTGTTTCTTTAAAATGCAAAAGGTAACATTGGAATCAGTTTGTATCTCTTTTTTAGCTATCTGTCAAAATGTTCCATTCACAGTCAATGAACGTCTCCGACAATTTCTGTCTCTGACACCCTGTTCCCAGGTTTGAGACGGTGGAAAATTATCTTTCTTTACTCCCTCTCCTGCAGGCTTAAACAGTCAAATTCCCCCCCCTTTCTCCTGCTTCCAAGGGGGGTTTTAGTGGTTATAAATGAAGGAAATTTCGACCTTTATAAACGACTTTCCAGGCTATTAGCTTACAAGGTTTTGCTTCAGTCTATTTACAAAAAGCGGAAGGCGGACTTCCTGTTTTGAACCTTCCTGCTTCGATGCCAAATTAGTTTGTTTCTTGATCCAATTTTCCGTTTCTACTCACAGGTACATGTTTAGAGTCCAATTGTCCACAGGAAAAAGTCAGCGCTCTCCGGCAATGGCCGTGAAAGTAGCAATCAGTTCGCAGCACCACGCTGCTCACCCCACTTCGCTCCAGAGCCCCAAAATGGGGTTCCCCGCGAGTAGGGGAGGCGCTCCTGGTGCCCTGCCAAACCCCACGTTCCCAGGCTTCCTCCACCTGGGATTTCTAGCGGGTCCCCACCTTCGCCGCGGCGGGAAGACCCAGTTTCCACGGAGCCAGTTCCTCCGGTTGGAGGAACTCCGCCATTCGCCAATGGCGCAAACCCGGAAGTCCTACACAGATTAATTTGAGATGGACCAATGGTAAAATCAAGAGGCACACAATTAAAAATCAAAACTGGCTCTTCCTGTTGCAGAAACTGTCCTTAACTTCACCAATTCAGATCTCGTTTCAGTTCCTTGCCTACCGCCGGAAGAGGCTACCGTCACTTGAAGAGAGAGAGGCTCTCCTGGGTGCGCAAGAGGAACCTACCGAAAGCTGACAAGGCACGATTTTTAAGTGAATGAAGATGCTGTGAAGGCCTTCTCCATTCCTCTGGACCTTGGAGAGCATGCAACAGTTAAATCTTTTACTGTTGAACAGATCGTTCTCCTTTTTGGGGTTGGGCTGTGACTACCTCTAAACGGACAATGTTTCTATTTAAAAGGGTGGGCTGGGGAATTAATCTCACAGGTTGTAAGCTGAGGAGTGAAAATGGTGCATTTTTTTTTCAATTTTTAAGTGTCTTTTGGAACTCAAGATGCACATAGCTCCCTCTTCACAATCACAATCCAAAATAAGGAAAAATGTAATTTAATGAGGTGGTTTGGATGGGATCAAAGGGAAATCACTGCAAGTAGGGATTGGGTAAAGCTATATTTCTGGGCTTCAAAGAGTTATTTGCCGTCATAAACACAGTCACAGGTGAATTCTGCCAAGGCCCATCGAGGCTGAAGGGCAGAGGTCTTGTTCTGTGGCACACACGTTGGGCATTCATTGTGAATAAGTGTTTTATTTGCACAGATGGATAAATATGAAAATAAACTTAACCCCTGCTTTCTAATAATGTCTGGACGCATTGGGAGAAGACGAAACAGAACCGTGGACAGCCAAGGAAGCTCAATGTTGGAAGATTCAGGGCAGGTAAAATTCTTCACACAGCACATAGTTAAAAGTGTGGAACTTGCCCCATAGGAGGCAGTCACAGCCACCAACTTTGAGAGTATTGGACAAATTCATAGAAGAGAAAAGGTCTATCCATGACAGAGGCAGCAGTTGCTGGAAACAGGGGGCTGCTGGTTTCCCATTGGGGCATCTGGTTGGCCACTGGATGTTGGACTAGATGGGCCTGAGCCAGCAGATCATCCTCTATACAATCATACCTCGGGTTAAAGTCGCTTCATTTTGAGCGTTTTCAGGTTATGCTCCGCGACGACCCAGAAGTAACGGAACGCGTTACTTCCGGGTTTCGCCGCTCGCGCAGACGCTGAAAATGAGGTCATGCGCAGAAGCGGTGAATCATGACCCGCGCAGACACAGGTTGTGTTCTGCTCAGGATGCAAATGGGGCTCCGGAACGGATCCCGGCGCATCCAGTGGTACCACTGTATTGTTAATCTTGGCCACAATCTGTCTCCTCTCTTCAGTGTCGATATTTGAACAGGATAGGTTTCCTGGGGGTGTTTTAGTCAGCCTAAACTCTGGAAAGGTGAGGGTGCATCCCCCACAATAGGTAAAGGGCCGACTCTGGGGTTGCGGAGCTCATCTCGCTTTATTAGACGAGGGAGCCGGTGTACAGCTTCCGGGTCATGTGGCCAGCAGGACTAAGCCGCTTCTGGCAAACCAGAGCAGCGCACAGAAACGGCGTTTAGCCTCCCGCCGGAGCAGTACCTATTTATCTACTTGTGCTTTCGAACTGCTAGGTTGGCAGGAGCTGGGACCAAACAACAGGAACTCACCCCGTCGTGGGGATTCGAACCGCCAACCTCCTGATCGGCAAGCCCTAGGCTTTGTGGTTTAGACCACAGCGCCACCCGCGTCCATAACAAGTTGACTGCAAAAATGATACTAGAAGACTCTGGTTGTGAATACAGAAGTAGGTGACCTCTAGTACAACTCAAGCCAGCCCATCACTCTTCCCAGGAAATACTTTGCTGCTTTAAAATGTAGGCAGGTCATGTAATTCAAATTGAGGCCGGTTTGTGGAGGAAAACACCTCAAAACAGAGTAGGAACTTTCTTCACACTCTTGACAGAGACCTCTCCTTCCCTTCCAGCACTTCAATTCTCAGAGCTCCCTGTGGGGAGGGATGGGCTGCTAAACCACTCTGGGAACTCTAGTTCTGAGGGGGTAAAATGTGCCCCCCCAACAACTTTTAGCATCCTTAACAAAACTACAGCCATGACTGTTTAAGTGGTATCATAGAACTTTAAATGCACGGTGTGAATGTGGCCAGTCTTTCAACATAGCCCAGTGTTTTTCAAATTTGGATCTCCAGCTGTTGTTGGACTACAACTCCCACGATCCCTGACCAATGGTTCCACTAGCTGGGGATGATGGGAGTTGTAGTCCAGTAACCTTTGGGGAGAGTGCATGCTAGACAGGCTATCCCACTGACTGACTTGTTTCAAGCACCACCACGTACCAAACAAACCCCCTATAAGGAACGTGCAAAAACACTGAACTTCCCAACGCAAGTTTTCACATTTTTTGTGGTTTATTTTTTTTAATTTTTAAGTATGGAGGCTCAAGTATAAGATGTAGATTCCGATTTAAGCATTACAAATAAAATAAAAATAACCGGGGAGGGGTGGGTTTAAAAAATTTTCTGCATTCCATAGAAATCAAAAGAAGAGAAGGGATTTGGGGCGGGGAAGAGAGAAAGCACCTCACTGTCCCCATTAAGAAAGAACATCTTGCAGCCATCACCAACTCAGCAAAATTCCTCGCAGCTCAAAAAGTCGGGGGGTGGGTGGGAGAGAGTTTACTTCAGCCTTCTGCACCCCCCCTCCCGCACAGCCCCCCACCCCCAAACATACATGGAACAATTTCTTTTCCAGTTTTTCGTTTTCCTCTTTCACACACCACAGTATATAATAAAGTTTTTTTGTTGTTTGTTTTGTTTTACATTTTTTACACCAATGTAACAAAAGATGAAAAGAAAAAAGCAGAGGGAGGGGAGGGGAGGGAAGGAAGGAAGGAGGGAGGGGTAAGACTAACAGAATGGCCTGGTGATTTTATGCATATAGATGTTGGGGTGGGGGCCAGGGGAAAAAAAAACAGGGCAACAAAATAAACACACACCCCCTCCCGTGGATCTTTTTCTCTCTACAGAAATGTGCTCCGCAAAGTCTCGAGAATAAAAAAAAAATAAATGGTGCAAATTAAGCCAAGAGAGAGAGAGAGAGAGAGACTGATGAAAGTTTATACAGCTTTATTCATCCGGGGTGGGGTTAGGGAGGGGGTGGGACTTGAGACAGCACTTTGTACGTGGGCATGATGTGATGGAGACGCAGACAGAAAAAATAGTGGCAGGCGGGTGGGGGGGGAGAGGAGAAAGGGAGAGGGGGAAAAGTTCTCTAAGAAAAAGGAATCTAATGAGAGCATGGCATGTCTCGTTAGCATCGTCAACGGAGCGGCTTTTCTTCGTTTTAGCTTTGCTGCTTCTTCTTCAAAGCCTCCACCAGGTCGATCTTCAGAGCTTCTTGCTTTGATTTGTCCGCAAAAGTCTGCACAGACCTGGAGGGAGAGAGCCGGAGGGTTAAAAACCAAGATTGCAGAGCGGCTGATGGGGAAGGGGCCTTGGATTTGCGTTTTGGGGAGAGAAGAGGCAGAAACTTAGACGTTATATAGTTATGAGCCTGCTAAGAGCTCCATTTTCTGGAAGACGACTCTTCTGGCATTCCACAGGTTCCTTGCTAATTGTGCCATCTCCCTGAAATCTGTTGAGGCCTCTTCCCAACTGCTGTATGCATTCTGGATTAATTTACATTACTGTGTAATGACTGCCAAGTGTCTTAAAAAGTAGTTGAAAGTCATAGTCCGAAGGATCAAATTTTTCCAAGCGATTCTCTTGCAAACCTTCCTTTTTGTAAACTGCTCTGTGTTGTTTAGCAATCGAGCTGTATATAAATTTCGTGACGGACTGACTGAAGAGCCTAGTAGGCTGCAGCCCATGCTAGCTGGGGGAGAAAGCAACAGCTCTCTCATCTACTGTCATGCCTCTGTTACTCAGATAGACTAATGCTGAATGTGGAGGTTCCATGGCACCATCACTGACGGCAGACGGATCCCCTCCATATCCTAGCAGTGAAGGAGCAGTTGGCCATTATTTCACACCTCCTTAGGTTTCCACAACGCTACTGGAAAACTACTTCCAGTCTGTTCTTTCTATCTATCTATCTATCTATCTATCTATCTATCTATCTATCTATCTATCTATTACTTTAGTAGACAAAATCAAACCCACACACGTTTTTCAGCAGTTCCTGAAAGAGAAGGGAAATTTTCTTCCCAGCTCCCATCAAAACAAGCAAGGCATCTTCCTCGACGCGGCTCAAGGGGGTTTCTGTGGCATGTTAGGAGCTCAACTCGTGGAAGGTTAAGCCGGCCTGAGGTTAGTCACTGCCATGCAGCCTAAGCAGTTAGAATTCAGAAGAGCAATTCTATAAGACAGTGGGGACGAGACTGCACAGTGTTTGATTTGGGCTGGGACTCTTTGGCAAATTGTATTGTTCCTGACAAGAGTCAGGGGAAGCAAGAAATGGCCATAAGTCAGAGCTTGGTTTTTCTACTCCTTTCCCTGTTTTCCCTCAATCCCCAAGCTCTGTGGATTATTGCCACCATTTGTGGTGCTGCAGAACAGCCGGCAGAATCCAGCTTCCGTTTTAAAAGGTGGGGAAAGAGTGAAAACAAGTGCCTAGACCTCAAGAAAAAGGGGGAATAGTTCAGCAGCAACCTGCAACTAAATTTGTATTCTGCAAAAGTCCAAAAGAATAAAAAACAAACATTCCCCAAATGAATTTAAGTGGTGTATGCAGAATTCAGAATAGTGGGCTTCATTTTAACTTTTATAAAGCCAAGTTTCTAGTCCACAGTGCTGGTAAGAGAAGCGCAAACGTTTGTGAGAAATGCCTGCTGAAATCTTGGAAGGGAGGCTTGAAGGAGGCGGAGTTTCAGCACCCCATACAGCTTCTTGCCGCCCCCCACTGAATCAACTGATAGGGTTTTCTGTGGAATTTCTAACAGTTACCAAACTCCACTTCTTAAAAAGGGAAGGGATGGTGTTGTTACATTCACAAAGAATTTGCTGGCGTTTCTGCATGGTGTACACGCAGCCCTTATTGCCGCGGGCGTGGTTTCTCTCCCCACCCATGCACAAAATCACACACACACACACACACACACACACACACACTATTTATTTATTTTTAACATACCAAGTGCAAGAAACTCCAAAACAGTGGGCAAGTAAGAACAAATCAAGCCTTTAGAAGAAAGGGACAGTGAGAGAGAGAGAGAGAGAGACAACGGGCCCTAGCATGTTCTAACTGGTTCAAGTTAGAGGTTAGGGGGTTAGTTTGTGTGAGGGCAGAGAGAGCCCCAACATGCGCTCATGGAAGGCAGGATTCGCCCGGCCAAAGTTAAGTGCTGTTTTAGTGCCAAGTGGTGCACTTTGCAGGCTGGAGGGAGGCCAAGGGGGAATACCTGGGCCGGCTTAGTTATCCGGCTGAATGTACATCTGGCGTTGGGTCAGGACTTGGGAGAGCTCCCTCTGCAACTGCTTATACTTTTGGTTGTCGGGAATAGCATCAATAGATCTAGAGAGGAGCAGGTGCGGAAATGGAAAAAGGGAAGAGAAGCAGAGGAAGTAAAAGAACAGGTCAGAAGAGTTGGAGAAACAGAAGCAGAATTGGGGGGGGGGGCGCTGGAGTTGCAGGAGAGAGAGAACACGGCAGGTAGAAATAATTGAGGCGGGGGTGGGAGAAAAGGGGAGACAGACGATGTTGCTTTCAGGTAGCAAAGGCAGAGAGGAAGGAGTTCACTGTCAACTGATGCTTCTTTTGGTGTGGAAATCGGATGACACACAGCTTGGGGGTGGCTAGGAAGCAGCTGCTTCTAGAGTAGCAAGCTGCCAAGTCACACAGAGTGCTTCTTCACAGAGGAAGCTCTTTGTGCTACCTTGAAGCCTGCTATCTGAAACCTTTGCCACATCAGTGTTGCAATTTAATTGGAGAAATGCAGCTGGGAGAGGGTGGGGATAACAAAAACCTAAGATTAGCTCAGAAGAATTTAACAGAACAGGACACTCTTAACGGTAGGATAGAGGTGAAATTCCAGTTGGTGCTTGTAGTGGGCTTGAAATGCAGGGAACCTGGGCTGCATAGCATTGCTAAAATGTGCTGCGGTTCAACACATTCCTCAAAGAGAAATGCCTTTTTTTAATGATGGAAATAATTCATGGGAATCAAGAGGGTGGAGGAAGGAGGGAGGGGAGGGGAGAAGAACAACAACCGCAAAGTTGCAGTCCACCCCTTACCTCAGTCCGTTGACAATGTCCTTCGTTTTCCCAAAATAAATCTCATTCAGCGTACTTCTGATTTTATTCTCCATGTCCTAGAAATGGGGTGGAGGAGAGGGAGAGAGAGAGAATCCACAGTCAGTTCAAAGTGCTAGTTTCCACCCTGGAGGAAGCGGTAGAAGCAAGGTAGAGGGCATGGAAGATGAACCATCACAGGAACACACCTGTGAAAAGCTTTCAGGTGAAAAGGAACAAGGTGGTGTTTGCTGCGCCTTTCCCCTTAAAAACAGAACTGCTTTGCTCTGCGTTGCAGCATGGCGCCCCCTCAGACACCCCATTGGTACACACTGAAGCCCACACCCCCATACAAGTACAGTGGTACCTCGGGTTACATTCAGGTTACAGACTCGGGTTAAGAACTTTGCTTCAGAATAAGAACAGAAATTGTGCAGCAGCAGCAGGAGGCCCCATTAGCTAAAGAACAGTTTCAGGTTAAGAACAGACCTCCAGAACGAATTACGTTCTTAACCTGAGGTACCACTGTATTTTAAAAATAAAAGCCTCCTTTTTGCCTTGTAATGGCTAGCAGGATGGATGTACAGTGGTACCTCGGGTTAAGTACTTAATTCGTTCTGGAGGTCCGTTCTTAACCTGAAGCACCACTTTAGCTAATGGGGCCTCCCGCTGCCGCCACGCCACCGGAGCACGATTTCTGTTCTCATCCTGAAGCAACGTTCTTCACCCAAGGTACTATTTCTGGGTTAGCGGAGTCTGTAACATGAAGTGTATGTAACCCGAGGTACCACTGTACTGAAATAAAAAACATTTAAACTGGCAAGGGGAAAAGGCCAGTTTAAACCACAGAATCATTTTGAGGAAAGAAAAAATAAACCCCAAAGTGGGCTGAAGAAGTGTGCATGCACACGAAAGCTCATACCAAGAACTAACTTAGTTGGTCTTTAAGGTGCTACTGGAAGGAATTTTTTTTGTTTTGAAAAACAAATGTGTAAGAATAAACATTAAGGTTTTAAAACAAGAGACAGAAAGTTGTAATCCCTGCCACTAGAGGGCAGCAGGCACCCATGCAAACAAACACCCGTTGCAATACAAGTCAGGAATTGTGGGTCCATCTTGGAATACAAGTCAGGAATGTGTGGGTCCACACATTTTAAAAAGTATCGTACCACTTTCAATAGCCGAGGCTTACCACAAAGAAATCTGGGAGCTGTAGCCTGTTATATTTAGCCTGGAGAAGAGGAGGTTAAGGGGTGATATGATAGCCATGTTCAAATATATAAAAGGATGTCATATAGAGGAGGGAGAAAGGCTGTTTTCTGCTGCTCCAGAGAAGCGGACACGGAGCAATGGATCCAAACTACAAGAAAGAAGATTCCACCTAAACATTAGGAAGAACTTCCTGACAGTAAGAGCTGTTCGACAGTGGAATTTGCTGCCAAGGAGTGTGGTGGAGTCTCCTTCTTTGGAGGTCTTTAAGCAGAGGCTTGACAACCATATGTCAGGAGTGCTCTGATGGTGTTTCCTGCTTGGCAGGGGGTTGGACTCGATGGCCCTTGTGGTCTCTTCCAACTCTATGATTCTATGATTCTATGATTCTAAGGGTGCTGAGAGGTGTTAGGAGATCCCCTATTCCCCTCGCAGAGCTACAATTCCCAGAGCGGTTTAACAATCAAGCCCTATTCCCTGGGAACTGTAGCTCTCAGCTCCTTGAAGAGGCTCCCAGGATTCCTTGGGGGGGGACGGACACCATGGCAGTGGCCTGAGACCGCTTTGAATGCATGGTGCAGTTGGGGCCTATACAACCTCAAAGATCAGGTTGGGTTTAAGTCTAGCTGGATCCCCACAGTCAAGCAAACAAGTGGGGTGACTGAGGATCTTTTAACCATTGCAGGCTGTGCTAGGCAGGAGAAAGAGAGGTAGACAGCAGTATAATGAACAGTGTTGAATCTGAACCATGGGAACCTGGATTGGAGTCCTCACTGAGCCATTTATGCCTGGGGCAAGCCTTTCTTTCTCTCCTTAACCAGCCTCCGAGGGGAATGGAGCGGGTAAAATGGGAAGGGGTGTGTGTGTAACCTGGCCAAGTGTGCCACCCTGACTCCCCCCTGATCTTTTTAAATGCAAAAACGGACAAAAAAGTTGGGAGTGCCAAAAAGCAACGCCTCCCCAAAACGAACAAGATGCTCTTCCACTCCGTCTCATTTGCCCTTTCAAGTCTGCCCCAGCCTTGGCAATCAGGATGAGGCCAAGGGACACGCAGCCAAGAGACGTTCTTGTCAGGGTGTTAACAGGGTGCACTGACATTTTTGGAGAGAAAGGAGGCGCCTACTTGCCGGGCGGTGTGACCTTTAGAAGAACAGCAGCCGGTGGGAGCCATATATTTTGAGAGAAAGGAGGGAGGGAGGGCATGGCTGTTTTACAGGTATGATGAACTAGCATGCCAGGGAGAGAGTCCAAGAGGGTGCAAGTTCATCATACCTGTAAAACAGGATCTAAGCACAAGAGAGCACTCTCTCTCTCTCCCCTCCTGTGGTGATGAGAAGCACTTTTGCATGCACAAACTGGGCATGCAGAGCAGGGGTCAGCAACCTGCAGCCCATGGGCCACAAGTGGCCCAATGGGCTTGTTTAAACGGCCCACGAGCTACCACTGAACCGAGTCACCACACTGCGATAAACCGGCAAAGCATGGAGCGGGGACTCGCTTTCGTGGTGCCAAACATCACGTCTGTGCAGATGCCGGAAATTGTGTCTGTGCAGGTGCGATCTGGCCCATGGAGCGATCTCCGCGGGAGTGAACTGGCCCAGGCGAGGTAAACCTTGCTGACCCCTGATGTAGAGCACAGCCTTCATGGCTAGTAGCCATCAAGAGTTTCCCCCACCCTATTTATTTAATTTCAACAGGTCAACTCTGAGTTGAACTTAGTTGAATACAACCCAGAGTGTGGTATGTGGGTGCAAACCGGCATACTCTAAGGATCTCGTTTCTTTCTTTTTTAGAAAATGGAAGTTACTAGTCCTCAAGACTAACTTAAGGTTCATTCATTTCAACAGGTCTACCCCAAGATGACCTTTGTTAGATACAACCCAAAGTGTGGGATCTGGCTGCAAACCAGCACAACCTGAGAATCTCTCCCATTTTTTTTTTAAATGGAAGTTACTAGTCCTCAAGACTAAGTAATGGTTCATTTCATCAGACCTATCCTGAAGTATAATTTAATTGGCTACAACCTCGAAAATTTAAATAAAGGACACAAAATGGTAGAATTTAAGATTCCACAAGATGCAAAAATAGCCAGCAAGGGGGCTGGGCTCTAGATGTAGATGCGTTAGCTGAAGTCAAAAAGTTCCATTTAGCTACCATATAGGAGAGCAGTAAGCAAATTGTTAAATTTGGGCTGATTTGGCCCATGGGCTGCTAGGTGCAAGACTAGTGTTGTAAGAAGGTGGAAGAACTCCAGGGAGGAAATGGGGGCTTTCCACCCCACATGAAGATTCAACTCAACTGCCCCGACCTCTTGGGAGACTGGGGGGGTCGGCAACAGGGTAGAAGAGGGCACCCTGAATCTTGACCCCCTTGCCACCCACCTTGTCAGAACCTACCTCTACCAAGCGCCCAATGTTGGCTATGTGTGGAGAGGAGTCGCTCACAGTCTCGTCTTTTTCCATCTGGAACAGGGAAGGAAGAAAGATCTGGTTAAGAGGGAAGTCAACACCGCAGAGGTTACACTGGTTAGAGCTCACCTGTTTGGGAGTCTGGAAGGAGGAAGAACACTGGGGATAGAGGACAGAAAGGGAAGGCTGCTTGCCTATACATTGCCCAGAGCACGGTGGTGCCTTCACCTGGCAGTATATCATGAGTGAAACTGCTGCCGCTCCTAAGTCCCTCCACCACCAAAGCCTGGCACGCTGAGCAGTTCAACAAAGCCCCAATGCTCTTCCGGCTTCAACGCGAGCCTGAGAGGCATTGGGGTTTGCTCATTGTGTAGGGCTGGGCTATGTATCTCGGCTGCTTCTTCCTCCCCTAAGGTGGGAAGCAGCAGCCAATATGTAACAACAACTTTATTCTTTATATCCCGCCCATCTGGCTGGGTTTCCCCAGCCACTCTGGGCGGCTCCCAACAGAATATTAAAAACACGATAAAACATCAAACATTAAAACCTTCCCTAAACAGGGCTGCCTTCAGATGTCTTCTAAAAGTCAGATAGTTGTTTATTTCCTTGACATCTGATGGAAGGGCGTTCCACAGGGCAGGCGCCACGACCGAGAAGGCCTTCTGCCTCGTTCACAGTAGCCTCGTTCTTGCAGGGAGGGAACCACAAGAAGGCCCTCGGAGCTGGACCTCAGTGTCCAGGCTGAACGATGGAGGTGGAGATGCTCCTTCAGGTATACTGGGACGAGGCTGTTTAGGGCTTTAAAGGTCAGCACCAACCCTTTGAATTGTGCTCGGAAACGTACTGGGAGCCAGTGTAGGCATTTCAGGCATTGTGATATATCAGCATATCGTGGTATTTAGCAGCTGATATATTGCAATGTTGAAAGCCAGGTATCCCCCAGCCCTGTTAGTAGGCGGTTCCCTAGACCAGATGGATGGATGAAGAGCAGTATACAAATTGAATTAACAACAACAACAACAACAATAATAATAACAACAACTACTTAAGGAAAGGGCTGTAGCTCAGTGGTAGAGCATCTCTTTTCCATGCAGAAGGTCCCAGGTTCAATCCCTGACATCTCCAGGTAGGGTTGGGAGAGAGCCTGGTCTGAATACCAGGGCAGCCACCACCAGTCAATGGGAAGTACTGCCCCCTGGGGGCAGGTGGGATTACCTACAGCGGTGCTAAGAGGCAGGCGGCGCTGAAGGTTTGAATGACCACCAGACTTTAGAAAGCTGGTATCGCTGGATCAACTTCATCCATTTTGTTGCATTCATTAAACTGAACAGTTTTAAACTGGATTCTGAATAAGTGTGCAATTCACAACTGTTCATCAATCAGAAATTTATTGTCATTTTCTTCCTTCATGGGCTGTGCAAACCGCTCTTCCAAATAATGCTTTTTATGGAGGCTAGTGTAGGGGGAGGGATGCGGGTTAAACCACAGAGCCTAGGGCTTGCCGATCAAAAGGTCGGCAGTTAGAATCCCTGCCATGGGGTGAGCTCCCATTGCTTGGTCCCTGCTCCTACCAACCTAGCAGTTTGAAAGCACATCAAAGTGCAAGTAGATAAACAGGTACCGCTCCGGTGGGAAGGTAAACAGCGTTTCCATGCGCTGCTCTGGTTCGCCAGAAGCGGCTTAGTCATGCTGGCCACATGACCCGGAAGCTGTATGCCGGCTCCCTCAGCCAATAAAGCGAGATGAGCGCCGCAACCCCAGAGTCGGTCACGACTGGACCTAATGGTCAGGGGTCCCTTTACCTTTATCTTAGTGTAGGGAGAAGTGGGGATTGGTTTGTGAAACTAGAATTGGCCCCCAAAAAGTTTGGGGAACTACCAGTACAGGTCCTGAGCTAGATGCCCCAAAGGGCTGACTCTGCATAAAGCTGTCATTTTGCATGACTCAGGAGGTGTGAGATCACTGCGTAATTTTGCCTCTTGGTTTATTACCAGCAGTTTTATCGGACTCATTTCCGGAGCCATCAAGGTGCGGCACACAAGCAAACGAAAACAAGATTAATGATAATTGCAACGTTGTCTGAAATGCATCGGCGCTAAGATAACATGATTTCACACTCATAAACACACGCACGCACGCAACAGGAGTAGATTCAGACACAGCCTAAACTAAGCAACAGCGAATCTGGGGGTCACCTGCATGTGAGAAGTGGGCATGCAGGCAGGTACCAGCTCATTTTGTTTACAGTAAATCAAATGCAAGTAAGAGATGACGTGAAAAAAGTTCATTATAAAATCATGCACGCCATGGAGAAAGTAGATTGGGTTGTCCCCCACCCCCCGTCCCCCTCTAGAGCTTGGGGGTGTCCAATAAAGCTATATGTTGGATTCAGGACACTTTTGTCACGCAGCGCAGGGACAAACTATGAAACTCATTCCTGCAGATGGCAGCAGTCGCCATCAACCTGGATGGCTTTAAATGAGGATTGGGCAAATTCATGGATGATTAGTACAGTCATACCTCATGTTACGTCCGCTTCATGTTATGTTCTTTCAGGTTACGTCCCGTGGCGACCCGGAAGTACCGGAAAGGGTTACTTCCGGCTTTCACCGCTCGCGCATGCGCAGAAGAGCAAAATGACGTCACACGCATGCGCAGAAGCGGCAAATTGCAACCCGCATGTGCGCAGACGCGCCACTGCGGGTTGCATTCTTTTCATGTTGCGAATGGGCCTCTGGAATGGATCCCGTCGCAACCAGAGGTACCACTGTACAGTCGTACCTTGGTTTTTGAACAGCTTAGTTCTTGAACATTTTGACTCCCGAATGCCGCAAACCCGGAAGTGACTGTTCCGGTTTGCGAACTATTTTTGGAAGCTGAACTGACTTCCAGAATGGATTCCGTTCGACTTCCAAGGTATGACTGTGTTATGAGTGTCTACTAGTCATGAGGGCTATGCTCCACCTCTGCAGCTGGAGGCAGCAAATACTTCTGAATGGAAGTTGGTGGAAACCAGGGGAGCAAGAGAGGGTTCCTGTGCTCAGGTCCTGCTTGTGGGCTTTGCATTGGGGCACCTGGTTGGCCACTGTGAGACGAGGATGCTGGACTAGGCGGGCTTGCTGGCCTGATCCAGTGGGCTCTTTTATGTTCTTATGCTGTGCTGGACGAAGCCCTTTGAGAAAAAAGAACTCTCGGGTCAAGACAACAAAGGGGTTTCAAAAAAGGCTTCTGAACGTCCCTGGAAGACTCTCGCCCAGCTGTTTGGAGCTCCCCCAGAACCATGGGACGGGAAGTTTGCAGGGGGGAGTGGAGGAGAGGAAGGAGAGAGGCACTTGCAGGTCTTTCTCCCTCTGCTTGCAAAACCAGCCCGGGGGGGGGGGGGGGGAGACCAGCGCAAGCCAAGTGTGTCTGCTGGGCCCAACGGGGCGTGTAATTTAGTCAGAGCCTCCGAGGCAAGATGTGACCTGCATGGTGGCAAGGCGCCAGCTCCAATTAGCTGGCCCTAGTTCGTTTTTGACATACAAAAGGGAAATTGGGGAATGGCAGGGGGAGAGATTACAGCCTCCGTTTTGTTTAGGATTTTTACACTGAAAGAGAATGCAGAATCTGCAAGGCGAGGTTGTGGGGCCCTGCTGTGAGCATGGGGAGCGGGGGGAAAGGGAGGGTGCCCACAGTCCCTTGGGAGTTTCCGCTCTCTACATGCAAAAACGCACACACTCACACACAGAACCCCTTCCCACACCTGGACACCCTGCTGGCAAGAGCCGCAGGAGCTGGAAATAAATTTTCACGTATGGTGCAGATATTATGGCACTGCTCTGAAGGGCCCCCATTGAAAGGAATCTGCCCCCCCCGTATTTCCTGAGCAGCCCAGGTGTTCCAAGGGGCCATGTGTATGTACACACAAACACAAGGGTGTGTGCCCCTGCTCGCTCAGCATGCCAACCTCCCTGCCACTCCTTAAACATCAACCCCTTAGAGCTTCCTCTTCCCACCTTAGGCAAAAGCTAAGCTACCTTTTTACCTTTCCAGACCCATTTTTGAAGCCACCTCTCTCTTCTGTTTGCCAGACCTGCTTTGCACCCCCGTTTCCAACTCAGGGCCTACTCTGAGTAGGCCTGGCATTCACTAGGATAGAACCCAGAGCATGGTAACTGGGTGCAAACAGCCACACCCTGAAAATCTCATTTTTTGTTGTTGCTGTTGTTTTTAAAAAATGGAAGTTAACTAATTGTCAAGGATCATAAAGGTCCTTTAATTTCAACAGTCTATGCTGTGCAGGACTTAGCTGGAGACAACCCATAACCATCCCGTTCGTGTTTATCTTTTGTATTTGTTTTTTTAAAGTATACAACTAGCAAAAACCTGAGGGGGCAAAAGGAACAAGATTTCTCCCTCCCTCTTTCCCTCCCACAGCATGCCATGAACTTCCTCTTCCACTATCTCACAACTGGGTTGTTCCAGCTGCCTGCCTCGCCCTCAGAAAGGGGAGGGAGTGACTCACCCACCTTGTGACTAGGCTAGAGACCTGCCCCCTGTCAGCTCATGCTGTGCCCCCTTCCCAATTCTCCCCTACCACCCATTGTCTTATTATCCAGTCACCAGAGGAACGGAAAGGCCAGAATGTTCACATGGAGAAAGAGGAGGAATTCCCTGGCTGGGGCAGCGGATCTCAACCTTACTTTAGCAATTCCTCTCTTGCTCGGCAAACAGGGGGAGAGTTTCTCCCCCTACCGCCCACCGGTACCAGGAAACTGGGGCACTGAGAGCCTGAGCACAGAGCGTGTGACGCACTGCAACTTCAGATCTCTCTGGCGGAAGGCGCAAACCCCCTTTTCCACCTGCCACAACCCCACTGCACAAAGTCCACCATTGCTCTTCCACTTCACCCGAGGACGACACCCGGAGCTCTGCGGGATGGGCCTCAATTTGAAAGTGAAACCATGGTGAAAATATACAACAGCAGAGAGTAGGCAGAACAGCGCTCTCCCCGTTACGGTGAGGCTTGGAGTGATTTATGGCCTGGCTTTCCGTTGTGGAAGGAAGGATGCTCTCTCTGTGTGTCTAAGTGTGTAAATAAAGGCAGAGCCCACACCCTGACATAAAATTCACCTTTGCTACCTAAGACTTCCATACAAAAGAAGCGTGGCTGCCATGATGTTCTAACCCCTGTCGGCGCAGGAAGGCGGCTGAATTTAATTAATTTCATAAAATTTATATGGAAAAGTTAGTGGGAAGTGGCTTTCCAGCAGGCACCCAGGAATGGGCAACAGGAGGCTCAACCAGATAGACCCCTCTGGACTTTCCTTATGTACCTACAAGTAAGAGCAGGGGAGGGCAAGTTATACCAAGTTAATCCATCTAGCTCTGTACAGTCTGCACTGGCTGGCAGTGGCTCTCCAGGGTTTCAAGGCAGGAGATATTCTCAGCCACACCTGGAGATGCCAGTGCAGATTGTACCGGGGACCTTCTGCATGCAAAGCAGGTGCTCCACTGCTGAGCTACGCCTGTTCCTTCAAGACATAGGAAGCTGCCTTATACTGAGCCAGACCCTTGGAGGTGAGCCAGGGATTGAACTTTGGGACCTTCTGCATGCCAGGCAAATGCTCTACCACTGAGCTACAGCCCTGCACTTAAGACACAGTAGCACTGGAAGCTGCCTTATACAGAGTGGGGCCCATCGGTCACGATTCTCCAGGGTTTCAGACCAGGAGCCTCTCCTAGCCACACCTGGAGATACTGGGGACTGAACCTGGGACCCTCAGCCGACAAAGCATGCAATTCATGATTCCTTGCAAGTTTCATAGTTAAGATCGCTTCTCCCCCAAAAAAATTAGGAAGGAAGGAAGGAAGGAATGCTCTTGTACCTGTCTGGTGAGGCTGCCCCCAAGGTTCATAGTGCCAGAGCCGGTTTTGTTCGTCTGCAGCCAGAGCATCACTGTGGAGGTCAGCTTGTAATGGGCAGTGCGGCCACTGGATTTCTCCTGGAGGGAAGGGGGGAAAAGAGTTACCTCTCTTGAAAATAGATAGCTATTGAATAAAAGCCAGCCGCCTGTCTCTTCCCCCTCCCCGTATCAGGGTTGCTCTGGTGCTGGTGCACCATCTATTTTCTTCCCTGCAGGCTGCAAGGGGTCAACAACCTCCCCCACCCCCAATGGGCTAGAGCATCTCTATCCTGCCCATCTCCTGAAAGCCCCCAGAATGCCTTTGGTTTTCAATTGGCTCTACTGAACCAAGAAAAGATGTGTTTTTCTTTTGCGCTTGGGAGTCATCAATCTGCTGACCCAGAAGGATGTTGCCTGTCGCTGGCACAACTACCTGTTGCTTTTAATAAGCACCTGCTTTTAAAAGGTACATTTTTATACTTTTGTTGTTGTTGTTTTTAAAATCTGGGAGCATCTTTTTCAGTTGTAGCCAGTCAAATTCTGCTTGTCTCCCCAGAATACCCAGGGCCTGTTTTAAACAATCCAACTGGGAAAATAGACCTGGAGGCTGAAATTATAGAAAGACAGCTGCGGGGAGAAACAGCAGCAATTCATGGGCCTTTAAGAGAGCTTTTGGGTTTGCTGATCTGACTTTACCTTTCCCCCCAAACGGCTTCGGAGCATTTTCCAAAATTAATAGGAGGGTGTTTTTTGTTTTTTTGTTTTTGCAGAGGGGAGGCAGTGAGGGGGAGATCAAGAGCAGCGGTGGCAGGGGGAGTTTATGAGCCTGAAACAATATCGCATTGTTTGGCTGAGCACCTGCACTCATTAGCCGCCTGGAATTTAACAAGGACTTCTCTTCCCTCCTCAGGAACTGCAAGTTGCCCGAGAGAGAGAGAGACCAGGCCGTACCTGAACTTCCACCACATGGATGGAATCCCAGCACCCCTTGATCTTCTTTGATCCATCGCCAGCTTTCTTAATTAGAATCACGCCAGCAAATCCGTGATCCAGATCCCAGAGGTAGACGGAGGAAACGCCCCCCTCGAAATACCTGCAATCAAAACAGAGAGAGACCAGCTGATCAGCTTTGTTAGGAGCAGAGCAGGGCAGAACAAAGCATCATTACTCCATCACCATTTATTATAAATATCTATGTATGTATATATTTGTATGCGCACTCTGCATGCATATGCATGTATGTATATAAAGATCAGCTCCAAAGATGCACAGCTAAGTGTCTGGTGTAAATTGATAGTAAATTGACAGACCAGGTGAAGCAGTTTCCTGAAAAATGTCTTTTTTCTTTTAAAGCAAGTTTCTAGCCCTCATGCAGCTGTGCCTCCTGAAATCTCCATAATTCTTTTTTTTGGGGGGTGTTAGCAAGGAAGGATTCCAGTGGGCAGGGGCTTCAGTGCTCAGCAAACCTCCCACCACCATAGTTTGACTCCGTAGGACGGCTTGGAGAACCTTTTTCAGCAAAGAGTTGTGCAGTGGAAGGCAACTCCCTCCATTCTGTCATTGTCAGGATCCCACTCAAACCTGCACAATGCCATCGACTCCAATTAATGGCAACAAGCTGTTAAAGAGCACAGCTGAAACTTAAAACCAGCATTTTTACAGCTCAGTTCTTCCCAAGCTCTCTTTTCTCTCGTCGCTGCTAAACAGTGTGGGCTGGGAGACTCTTTTCCTCCCCTCCGCCCACCTTTTTACAGTGAGGTTGCCTAATTAAGACTAAAGGGAACAAGAGGTACGTGGCAGCCTGGCTCTGCAGGCCCTCCGTTGTGTGTGTGGGGAGAGAGAGAGAGAGAGAGAGAGAGAGAGAGAGGGAGAGGCGATATTTTGATTTATTGCAGATTTGCAACCAAGTCGAAAGCCTCTGCAGAACAGAGGTCCCATGACTGGGTTTAAATGTTCCTCCACCTGGCGTCCAGTGTGGAACGCAGAGAGCTGGTTCAGACTGTGAATGCCATTTCTCTTGTGCCTGCAAAAAGTTTGGGAGGTTTTTCTGTTTTTGTTTTCTGCAAAAGCTGCTACACTTGAGCTGCTTTGTACGTGAGCCTCTCACACCTGCCCTTCTGCTGACCTAGTTGACACCTTTGCTGGTATCTCTTGCACACTGCCCTAAACACTGGCCGACAGAATTCCTGGGCGCTCTGTCTGGCGCATGCTGAAGCCTTCATGGAAACACCCACACGCACCCACACCTCCATCCAAGGCAACCTGAGTGCAAACAATGGAGGGTGTCAGGACTGAAAGGTTGTCTGAATCTGACCCTGCAGAACCGAGGCAGCACGGAATCCACCCACAAACAGGTGTTTGTTGAGTCGCTCCTGAGGACAGTAACAAATTGGGGTAGGGGAACGGAAAGATAAGGGTATACTGATTCATGCACATTGTGGAAAAGTAACTTTTCCTTCTTCTCATATATAAAACCCTGGAACTGGGGAGTTTGTCTGGGAGTGGGTTGAGGTAAAACAAAACAAAGACTCCTTCCGCCCCCCCCCCTTTACACAATGCAGTTTGTCGGATTAGCCGCAATGACTGTTAGATGGCTTTAAGAAGAGGGATTTAAAAAGCTGTGGAAGCAGAGGGCAGATCTAGCAATGGCTATTAGGCCATGATAGAGAAATTGAACTTCTATGTTCAGAGGCAGCATCCCTTGGGATGCCAGATGCTGGTGCAAAGCCTGGTCAAGTCTGAAGTGTCTGTGGAAGGTAGGAAGAGAGGGCTATGACACTCAAGTTCCGCCTATGGGCTTCCTAGAATCATCTGGTTAGGGTCAGTGTGGGATGCAGGATACTGGATCCCAAATGGGTCCAAATCCAGCAGGGCTCTTTGAATGTTCTGAAGCTCCCTGCAGTGACCTAAAGGGACACTCTGCATAATAATTATATGATGTGGGGGGCCGTTGCCTTCATATTCCTGCTTCTGGCCTTCCCAGAAGCATCTGGAGGGCCACTGCAGGGAGCTAGACAGGATGAAACCATCTTGGTCTAATCCAGCAAAACTTTTAGGCGTGCTTTGCAATGGTCAAAATAGATCCTGCAAGCCTGCCCACCACCACTGCAGATCAGTTAGCTTCAGCTGAATAATTGTTAAATAGCAAAAGGCTCCTTGTCAGTTCAAAGAATATCTGCACTGAGTCAGGCAGAGGCCATTCACAACATCCCCGACATCCTGGGACCACCTGCATGCAAGGCAGATGCTCTACCACTTCCCCCTAAAAATAAAGCAGGATTCTAGCCCTCATGGTTCGGAATAAAGGGGCAATTTAAATAGAAACATAGGGATTTGCCTTCTGGAGTGTCAGACGGCAAGTCTGTTGAGTCCAATACTGTCTATACTGACTGGCAGCGGCTCTCCAGGGTTTCAGGTGAGGTCGTCCCCAGCCATAACTGGAGACTTCAGGAATCAAAATCAGGACCTTCTGCACACAAAGGATGGGCTCTATCGCTGAACTACAGCCCGACAGAGAGCAGGCTTTCTTCTCCACCCCGCAAATAAGCCACGTTGAACGCAAGAAAGAAGTCCGTCTCCCACTTCACACCGAAAACAAAACATACGACCAAAATCTATTCAGAAATTTAGGAACGACTGGTGTACGGCCTCCCTCCCAAACCAGCCTTCTCCATTTGTTGCAATTACACATTTTACCAGGTTGTTCGGAGCACGAGACATTAATTAGGAGGCGAAGGGGTCCACTACAAGGAATACCCCATACCTTACAAATCTGTACTTTGATCCTAATGACATGAAATGGGGGGGGGGGGGAGAGAAAGAGAGAGAGAGAGAGAGAGAGAGAGAGAGGCGCTCTAATTTTCACACACTTCACATTTATGAGATTCTGCATAAAGGCTTTTGCGGGCATATTTTAAGAACGTGCTAAAACGTTGTCCGAGACCACATAAAGCCGTCGGAGGGAATGCTTCCAGCCAGAACTAACAAGCGCACACATGGAAACACTCAGGATGGCCTTTGTACCTTTAATGAATCAAATATAGCATTAATATTGTTTTAAATACTAACATGCTATTTCAAGTTGGTTTGGAGCTGACTGGAGCTAGTGCCTCAGGTCCACCCCGCTGGGCAGGGGGGATGTGGCCGGCAAGGCAAAAAAAACCAGCCAAGTTGCTGTTCTGTGGCTTGGAACCACGCTGATCTCTGAGTGCCGGCACTGGCTTGGTGTGGTGGGTTTTTTCCTGCCGTTGCAAATGTCGTAAGGCTCCAGTTTTCTTTCCCAGTGCTGAATTCATGGAGGAGAGGAGCTACCTACTAGCCACAATTGCCATCTTCTGCTGCCACAGTTGGGAGACAGCAATGCTTCTGAATAGGGACACGGGTGGCGCTGTGGGTTAAACCACAGAGCCTAAGACTTGCCGATCAGAAGGTCGGCGGTTCGAATCCCCGCGATGGGGGGAGCTCCTGTTGCTCGGTCCCTGCTCCTGCCAACCTAGCAGTTTGAAAGCACGTCAAAGTGCAAGTAGATAAATACGTACCGCTCTGGTGGGAAGGTAAACGGCATTTCTGTGCGCTGCTCTGGTTCGCCAGAAGCGGCTTAGTCATGCTGGCCACATGAGCTGTATGCCGGCTCCCTCGGCCAATAAAGCGAGATGAGCGCCGCAACTGGACCTAATGGTCAGGGGTCCCTTTACCTTTATAATGCTTCTGAATAGCAGTTGCTGGAAACCACAGGAAAGCGAGAGGGGTCTTGTGCTTGAATTCTGCTTGGTTTCTCACAGGCATCTGGTTGGCCACTGTGAGAAGAGGATGCTGGGTCAGGTGGGCCACTGGCCTGATCCAGCAGGGGAATTCCTCATTTACGCGGGGGTTGCATTCTGAGGCACTATGTGTGTCAGTGGGAGGTATGCAAGCCTGTCCTGTCCCCTTCCAGTGCCGAAAATGTGTGTGCTGAGCGTGTGCAAATGGGGAGTTGTCAGTAGGCCAAGAGAGGGAGTGCTTATTTTTCTACGTCTTGTTTTATTTATTTCCCTTTTTGCCTTTGTCATCTTCCAAGGCCAGGAGATCTATAGAACCATTGTTGTGGAATTAGCATGTCAGACCCCAGGACCTGGGAAACCAGGGTTCAAATCCCCACTCGTCCATGAAGCTCCCTGGGTGATACTGTGGCCCATCACTGCCTTCTCTCAGCCTGACCTACCTCACAGGGTTGTTGTGGAGATTAAAGGAGGAAGGGGGAAACCATGCACAGTGGCACCTCAGGTTAAGCACCGTATTTTTCGCTCTATAAGACGCACCAGACCACAAGGCGCACCTAGTTTTTGGAGGAGGAAAACAAGAAAAAAATATTCTGAATCTCAGAAGCCAGAACAGCAAGAGGGATCGCTGTGCAGTGAAACCAGCAATCCCTCTTGCTGTTCTGGCTTCTGGGATAGCTGCGCAGCCTGCATTCGCTCCGTAAGATGCACACACATCTTAAGTGAGTCTTATAGAGCAAAAAATACGGTACTTAATTCGTTCCAGAGGTCCGTTCTTAACCTGAAACTGTTCTTAACCTGAAGCACCACTTTAGCTAATGGGGCCGCCTGCTGCTGCTGCCGCGCCGCCAGAGCACGATTTCTGTTCTCATCCTGAAGCAAAGTTCTTAACCTGAAGCACTATTTCTGGGTTAGCGGAGTCTGTAACCTGAAGCGTATGTAACCTGAAGCGTATGTAACCCGAGGTACCACTGTATGCCACCTTGGGCTCCCTGGAGAAAAAGGCGGGATATAAATGCTATACATAAGTAAAATCAATAAATACTGTTACTGTAAGCTGCTTTGATCCCATTTACTTCATTTCATGATAGCATGAGACTTTTTATCTCAGGTTCTTGAGATCAAGCCCCACATTGGGCAAAAGATTCCTCCACTGCAGAGGTTTGGACCAGATGATCCTCATGGTCCCTTCTATGATTACAGAAAACCAGGATGCAAATATTAAAGCCATGTACCACTGTCCTGATCTGAAGGTAAATGGCACAGCCACTTTGCCAAGCAAAAGTTGGGTCTGGGCAGAGCCTAGATAGGAGTCCCCAAAACACCACCATATATTCTGTAACATTCAGTACACACACACACACACCATGAACTTTCCACAGATGGTAAAAGCAGGAAGGGGAGAGAAAAATAAGCCTCTTCAGTCCAGTTGTTCCTTCACCTCCCTCGCAACTTAAGCAAATCCGTCCCAAAACAGTGCCTGTGGGTCCCTGTGCAGGTATTCGGCAAATTCTTTCCAGCAGGCACACAGGTGCAAAAGCAGCCCTCGAGCAAACATACCGATCTGGTTAGGTATGTATGTCCTCCATGCCAGGTACGCTTAAAAGAGTGCACATCTGGCCGGCAGCTGGGCAGCTCTGACTGCTCAGGGAGGCAGTCGGCCCTGGAAGAACAAAGGGCGGATTCAGACGCAACAGAGGGGCGCTTAGCATTGCGTCCAAAGTCGGCCAGTGCTTACAAGGCGGGAAGCCACAAGGCGGGCATGTGACACTCACCTATTTTGGCAATGGAGCCTCTCCTACCACGAGGGGGGCATTTTGTGGTTTTTATTTGGCTAGCTAAGTCTCTTCCCATTTCCTTCCACGTAATATCTATTTTTTAATTTTCATGCTCAGCCCCAATTCAGCTGAAACAACAGCATATTACCTGTCAGATTACTGTTGCCTGGACTTCCCTGACCTCCCCCTGCATTGAATCTTAGATTCTAAGCTCCTCAGAACTCGGTCTAAGGCGGATTTTTACGTGGATTGCAACAGCAGCACTTCCACAGTATAAATGTACAGTGAAGAATAATTTAAAAACAGTCCCCCAAATGCATGTATGAGTTAGAAGCAGGGTCCCAGTTCGGGGGGCGGGGAATGAAGACTACTGCTCTTAACAGAGGGTGCACACCAATACCAGTAAATAATGTGTGTGTGTGTGTGTGTGTGTGTGTGTGGTTTGTGTAAAATGATGCAGCACAAGTACTAAGTGCAGTTACTGTTGGCTGTGGGGAGCTTCTTTCATTGTATATGTGTTGCTGCTTAACTTTTAAAAGTCAGTCAAAGCTGAAGGGGAAGAATCTTGCAGGCAACACAAACCCAGCTCTGGACTCCCTTGTGCAAAGACCTGGCTAGAAAATATTTGGGGCGGGGGGAGGGAAAGGAGCCCAACTTTCTCTGGGGCTGTGGCATCTGGATTCAATCCGTCGGGGCCCCAGCTGCCAAAGCTGTGGCAAATTATTGTGCCCGAGCAGAGACAGGGGAGGTAGATCATCACAAGGGGTTTAGGAGCCATGAGCCAAGGGCAATAAACCCACTTCAAAAGGCTTTGCTGGTTGAGTCTCTCAGGTTTGGCCATGCTTGATTCACATCCAGAGACAGATGGTGGGGAAAGCGCTCGCGGCAGGCGGAAAGGGAAGGGGGGGGAGTGTTCGGCATTGCACTGCAAGGAAGCAGAGACCGACTGCCCGCCCCAGACTACAGCTACAGTTTCACAGAATTGTTGAGTTGGAAGGGATCCCCAAGGGTCTTCCAGTCCACCCCGCTACAACGCAGGAATCGCAGCTAAAGAATCTCTGGCAGATGGCCATTCAACCTCTTGATTTAAAATCTTCCAAGGAAGCTGAGCCCACAACCTTCCCAGGCAGTCAAGCAGCTCTTACCATCAGAAAGCTCTTCCTAATGTTTAGTCGGAATCTCCTTTCTTGTAATTTGAATTCAGTGGTTTGGGTTGTATAGTGAGCAGCAGGTCAGAGCAGCAGAAAACAAGCTTGCTCTACCTTCCATGGGGAGGTATTCCTTTTTCCCCAGCAGGGATCGGCAGCCTGTGGCCTTCCATATGTTGACGGACTCTGCCTTCCATCATCCCTCTGACCATCACCCAGGCTGGCTGAGTCTGGGAAGGGGGTTGGAACCTGACAACATCTAGAGGGCCGCCTAGGACCTCCACCTTAGTGGTAGCATGCTGAAGCACGAAGAAAGCTCCTCTGCCTGAACAAATGATTATGAACCACTAGGACAACGAGAACATATGGCGCTGTCTCATGTGAACTTTTTTTTTTAAAAACGAAAAACCTAGGCACTGCAACAAAATAGGAGGCGACAAGTGCCGTTTGTTGATGATGGAAACCAGTTTCTGCCATATTGCTCATCTGGCCAATAGCTGTCACGCCCCGTCAAGAGGCATTTGTTTTGGGACAGGGCAAGAGATCAATCGCTTTCCTGCCAGGGAGACGATCTCAGCTCACTTCTAAGGCCCCTGCTTTCAAAACAATCAGGGATGATTGCATTCCACAATTGGATCCACCCTCCCGCTCAATCCCCTTTCCCCGCTGCCCCACAGGAAGACGACGGCATGGAAAGTAAAGCGGATAAATGCATCCAGAGCCACAGCTGCTCCACACACTTTGTGTTCCTGTGGCAGAAGACAGGCCCATTAACTTAAAAGGGAAGAGAACTGCAAGCATTACTAAGCGGAAAGAGCTGTAGCTCAGTGGTAGCGCATCTGCTCTGCGTGCCGAAGGACCCGGGTTCAGTCTCCAGGTAGGCTGGGAGAGACCCTGCCGGAAACCCTGGAGAACAGCTGCCAGTCAGTGTTGTGGCAGTACTGAGCAGTACAACTCGGTAGAAGGCAACTTCCTGTGTTTCTATTTAAAACCAGGCCTTTATTCACAGTGGCTGACTTGGTGCTCATGGGAAAGCTGCAAGGAGGACACAAGTACAGTGGTACCTCGGTTACAGACGCTTCAGGTTACAGATGCCGCTAACCCACAAATAGTACCTCGGGTTAAGAACTTTGCTTCAGGAGGAAAACAGAAATTGTGCGGTGACGGCGTGGTGACAGTGGGAGGCCCCATTAGCTAAAGTGGTGCTTCAGGTTAAGAACAGTTTCAGGTTAAGAACGGACCTCCAGAGCGGATTAAGTTCTTAACCCAAGGTACCACTGTATTTGAATACCAGAAACTGGTATTCAAAAACATTATGGAGGCAGAGCACAGCCATCGAGGTTGTAGCTGGAATTTCTGTTTGAATCCTGCTCCCACTTCCGACCTCGAAAGCACACGTCTTGCTCTCACAATCCAAATTCTCCCATTTGTGGTCATTCTTTAGTAATAAGCCTGTTACTCCCTCCAGCTTAAACAGAGCGGCAGACAAAAACTCTCTCTCTCTCTCTCTGAGCTCTTTCCCATACTGCTTACAAACATGTTTTGGGTATTGCAGGTTGTCAGCGTGTGGCTATGAAAAAGGCAAGGCGTGAACACTTGCCCGTGAGGAGGAGAACAGTCCCGAGTAGCCATCCTGGTTAGCAGCTGCTGATAGCTTCCTCCTCCTCTATGAATTTGTCCAATCACTTTTAAAACAACCCAAACTATGTGCTGCATTCATTGTCAGTTGCCCCGAGTGGCCCACATGGACACCAGAAAGCCAGACTCTGGTGTGTGTGTGTGATTTGTATATGAATACAAATAAATAATAAATTGTAGTTACACCCCCACCAGTCTTTGCCAGCCTATCATCTCGAAAATAAAAGCGGGATGCCCTTTTGTCAGAGGATGAGAGAAGAGGTTGCCTTCGTGTTGAGAATGGGGTTTTGCATCTAACATGCCCCCATTTCTAAGCAAGCAGCCTTTTCAAATCTAAGCTGCCACCTGGAAGATCAAATCTGATGGTAGGGGAAGAAATCTCTTTCCACCCTGGCTGCTGAAGACTACATGCTTGTTATTCCAACGCTTCCCAAACCTGTGGCAGCAGGTTGCTTCCTGTTGAACTCAGGGGCTGGTTTAGATTTTCATCTAAGCCCGTCTGCAACGTCACAAAGTGGAGAGAGAGAGCCAACAACAGTGCCTTAGGAGAGACTGAAGACAAACTCCCTCTGATGGAAAAATCCACATCCTTCTATCAAAGCAAGCTGCAAAAATAAAGGGGATAACAAGCAGGGAGGCAGGAAGGAGGCACGACTCACTCCTAAAAATATCATGCTCTTAACCAACATGGTGGCCTCCCGATATCGCTATAGACTATGACTCCCATCAGCCCTGATCACTGGCAATGGTGGCTGGGGCAGAAAGGAGTTGAACAACATCTCCGGGGCTGCAGGTTCCCCCATCCCTGAATCAGACTGTCACTTGTCTTTACTGTCCATAGCTACCTGCATCATTATTCTGCATCACTACAAGGATGGGGAGTCTGGTGTCACCTTGATACTGCTGGACTCCAACTACCACCATCCCTGATCACTGGGCCATGGTAACTAGGGCTGATGGGAGTTCAACAACATCTGGAAAAGCCATGTTGGCTACCACAACTGCAGTAAGTCACCACCTTCTTTTCCTTTTTTTTTTTAAGTTGAAAGGGACCACGAGGGTCATCTAGTCCAACCACTTGCAATGCAGGAATCTTTTCGCCCAATGTGGGGACTCGAACCCTGAGATTAAGAGTCCTGTGCAATACTGACTAAGCTGTCCTCTAAGTCACCATCTTAAAGAAATCAAAAGGATTCCTTCTTGCCCTGAGGATAATAGACACAAACATCCAGAGAGATGATATCACAAGCCAACATACAAGTCTCTGTACTGGTCAAAGGCGTTGTTCGCTTCCACCTCCAGTTTGCGCAGGCGGGCGGATGGCATGGCACCGTCTTCCAGAGGAGGGTCGTATTTGTTGCTCCACGGCGATCTGCAGCAGGAGAAAGATAGAGAGTAAGCAAACTTGTTCAGCACACAAAGCATCAATAGAATCCCCCACCCCCCAGACAATCAAGCATGGGTGTTGCTATTAATTACTCATTTTGCAACAGAGCCCCTGTCCCAAGAAGCTTAGGGGTGTATCTCACAGCACTCCTACTCAAAGTAGACCCTTTACCATTAATAGGCATGACAAACTTCGCTCTAGTGATTTCAATGGGTCTGCTCTGAATAGATAGCTAGATACCACCCAGACAATGTCAGGGATAGTCTATACACGCGAGGAGAGTGGCAGAATGAACTGCACTATTTCAGATTGCAGGGTGAGGTCTGTGTCGCATTTTTGAAAGTCCCTCTACATTAAAAACTTGGGACCAGACTACCTGAAAGATTGTATCTCTCCCTATAAACCTGCCCAGGTTCTAAGAGCCTTGGGTGAGCACCTTTCTCTTGGTACCATCAACATCAGAGGCACGGCTGGTGGTAACAAGAGACGGCCTTTCCTGCGGTTGCTCCCATATTGTGGAAAATCCTCCCAAGAGAGGTCAGACTGGCTCCTTCTTTGTTATCCTTTCTCCAGCAGGCTAAGACCTTCCTGTTTAGACAGGCCTTTTGGAAACTGAGGTGTAGATGATGTTGTCCACTGGGCTGCTGTCAAGGCACACTGGATTTTAACTGCTGGCTCTAAGAGCGTTTTGAGGTATTGTAACTATTGTTAACTAGTTTAGCTTTTATAATGAAGCTTTACCATGTTGGAAGCTGTCCTGAATCCCAATTAGGGAGAAAGGCAGAATATCAAAAGATTACATAAAGGAACAAATTCTTCCTAGCAATAGGAAATGAGGACAGCTGGCACAGAGGAATATGGCAGAACCTCTCCCCTTGATGAGATAAGTATCTTTTAAGCAAAAATTTGACACGCAACACAACTGCAGTCCAACACACTGGAGCATTCCACCCCAGCATTCTTCCACCTAACTCTCACCTCATTGCTTTGAATGTGCAGACCGTGCTTGATATTCAGAACAGGGAATGATGGGTGTGCCATCTCTAGCATGGGTCTCTGCAGATGTTTTGAACTGCCCCTCCCAACAGCTCCAGCAACCATGCGCCTGGTGCTGGGTGTCTAAAGCAAAGGCTCTGCTAGCACAGCACAATGGCACCTAACGTGCATTTAAGTTGCACAATTTCAGCCATTTGTGGCTAACCCTAACCCTAACCCTAACCCTGCACAAGTTAAAATCCAAGCAAGGCAGAGAGCTCAAAAGCTCTTTTGGTGCCAGATTGGCTTTGTGTTATTTTAGCTGTTTTTCATGATGTCTTCTGTGTTGCAAAACGGTTTTCTCATGCTTTGAGAGCCACCACAAGGCTATGACCAAAGGCAGAATGTAAATATTCATACCGAATATAAAAAAGGCAAAAAAGTGTGGACTAGCAGCTTTGCTAGTGTGGACGCAGGTGGCGCTGTGGGTTAAATCACAGAACCTAGGACTTGCCGATCAGAAGGTCGGGGGTTCAAATCCCCGTGACGGAGTGAGCTCCCATTGCTCGGTCCCAGCTCCTGCCGACCTAGCAGTTCGAAAGCACCTCAAAGTGCAAGTAGATAAACAGGTACCGCTCCGGCGGGAAGGTAAACGGCGTTTCTGTGCGCTGCTCTGGTTCGCTAGAAGCGACTTAGTCCTGCTGGCCACATGACCCAGAAGCTGTACGCCGGCTCCCTTGGCCAATAAAGCAAGATGAGCCCCGCAACCCTAGAGTCAGCCACGACTGGACCTAATGGTCAGGGGTCCCTTTACCTTTTAGCAGCTTTGTAGCCTCATTTGCAGGTGGCAGTAAAAATACACAAGAAATACGAGCTTTGAAATTTCCATCACCTCTTGGGAGTGATGGTGGTGGAGAACTAACTTACTTCTTCCATTTAGGAACTCTCACCTATATCATTAGAATGTGAGAAGAGCCTGCCTGGGTCAGGCCCACAGACATCTAGTCCAGCATCCTGTTCTCACAGTGGCTGAATAGTTGCCTCTGGGAAGCTAGCAAGCAAGACCTGAGCACAACAGCCCTGTCTCCTCCTGTGGTTTCCAACAGCTGGCATTCAGAAGCATTGCTGCCCCAGAGCACAGCCATCATGGTTAGCAGCCGCTGACACCCTTACCCTCCATTTCTGCAGCAGGTAAATGCTGAGCAAGTGCTCAAGGTTTCTGCCTCCAACCCAAACAATCTCCTTTCTCCCCTACCCCTCCAAGCCACTTTTAAGCAAGGTGGGCTTGATTTAATTGCGGTTAGTAGATTTCTTCTGCAGAGCACGAGGAATGGAATTTCAGAGCGAGAGCACACAGCCACGACTTAGCACTTTCCTGGCCTGGAGACTGTGCACATCCCAAACCACCTCTAAAAAGGGGATTTTTGGTGGAGGGAGAAGAGAGAGAAAGTAAGAAAGATTGCTGGCTGCAGCAGTAATTTCATCCACGAGAAATTCATAACATTACTCCCTCAAATGATGTTTTCACAGCAGACAAGCCCTCAAAACGCATTTACGGGCTTAGATGGGAGGCTGTTTTGAAAGAAGGCAGCTGAACGGAGCCCGCCTGGCTGAAAGCGATGGAGCTTCATGCAAGAGCAATGTTTCTGCTGCAGCCAACAGGTTCCAAGACGGTGTTGCTGGCATCAGCATCTTCCCCCCATAAGGATCCTATTTAAGGAGAGCAACCAAACACCAGGATAGGGATGTGCAGAGGAAAGCCGGAGGGGAGGGGGCTGGGAGTTTGGTCTTATTTTGTTATTTTTTTAAAAAAAGTTAGCTTGTGTTTGCTGGGTGTCTCTGCCATTGGCACCTCCCAGGTGCTACCCACCAACCGTAGCAGCAGAGGTGAACTTGGCTGGTTAATTATTATTTATTGCATTTATAAGGTACGCGGGTGGTGCTGTAGGTTAAACCACAGACCCTAGGACTTGCCGACCAGAAGGTCGGCGGTTCGAATCCCCGCGACAGGGTGAGCTCCCATTGCTCGGTCCCTGCTCCTGTCAACCTAGCAGTTCGAAAGCACGTCAAAGTGCAAGTAGATAAATAGGTGCTGCTCCGGCAGGAAGGTAAACAGCGTTTCCGTGCGCTGCTCTGGTTCGCCAGAAGCGGCTTAGTCATGCTGGCCACATGACCCAGAAGCTGTACGCCGGCTCCCTTGGCCAATAAAGCGAGATGAGTGCCGTGACCCCAGAGTCGGTCACGACTGGACCTAACAGTCAGGGGTCCCTTTACCTTTATTGCATTTATACCTCACTTTTCCCCGTTTTTTCTCCAAGTAGCTCAAGGCTGAGGGACACTGACAAGCCCCAAGATGATACCCCATGAGCTTCATGGCTGAGTGGGGATTCGAACCTTGGTCTTTCCCAGGTCCTAGTCTGACACTCCAACCACTGCACCACACCAGTTAACCCCTGTCTGTTTGTGGGAGCTGCAACCAGGCCTTAGACATTACAAGGGATCCACCATACAGGATTCTCTAGCTCAAAGAGCCATGCGACAGCATGTCAGAAGCTGCACTCAGCTACCTAGGAAAAATGATATAATGGGCAAGATCTTTTGAGATGTGGGTAAGGGGCTCAAAGTACCCAAAGCTTCAAAAATACATAGCACATGCTACCGATTCATCATCCAGGGGGTTGCAAACCCTTCTGGACCCATCTGCAAACCAGAGAAACATTCCCAGTGTTACCTGGAGTTGCCAGGGGTTAAAACTGGGACATTTTACATGCAAAGCAGGAGCTCTGCTATTGAGGTATAGCCCTCTCCTTACAAATAAAGACCCTAGTCCTTATGATTCTGAATCAAGGGCTGATTTCAACAGAAAAACTGGAAGCTACTTTACAGCTCTGCCACCCAGGTCATCTGGCTCATACTGTCCACAGTGACCAACAGTGGCTTTCCAGGGTTTTAGGGAGATGCTCTACCACTGAGCTGTGCCTCCTTCCCAAAGCTCACACGTTTTATAGTCTACTGGATAGTTGAAAAGTTGTGAACATCTCTGGGTTATTATCTTATTTAGCTGGGTCATTAGGAGAGAACTCCAGAAGGTTCCCCCAACTATACCCATTTGTAGCTTAGTAGTAGAGGCAGGCAGAGGACTCCAAGCTCCCTTTCCTAAAATCTCCAGGTAAAATCTTCCGAGTTCTTTTCCAGGCCTGGGAAAGAACCAGGCCTGAAATTCTGGAGAGCTGCTGCCAATTAGTGCAGACAATAATGAACTCGATGGACTCAAGAGCCTGGTTCAGTTTAAGAGAGCTTCCAAGACTGCTATCTTTGTGAATCAAACTCTGTAAATCCACACTGTTAGTCTAGCAGTGAGCAAAATGTGTTTATGTCTGTTTTTAAACTTGCACTCGGTGGCGCTCCCCACCCCCCCACAATTTTTGATGATTGCCACTTCCTAATAACCTGCCTGAGATCAAAAGGGATAAAAAGATGGATAGTATAAAGGAGTGTTTCCCTGTCCAGAGGAGCAAAGCAGTCACCTATAGGAGTCTCCATCTCTGTTGTAGTCGCACAGTAAGTAGTCCTTCCCCACTACTTTATCACGAGCGATCTTCAAGGGCTGGTCAACAGAAGACAGGAGATCTTCACAGAGGCTGGGGACCTGTAAAGAGAAGCAGGAAGTTGTGGGGGACACAAGATGCAAAAAGTGAGGCAGGGGTGCTTCAGCAAGCTCCTGTAAATGTATGTCTGAATTGCAGCTACTTTATAAAGCAGCTTTTGTGACCAGGATGTCAGAAGGGGCACCGTTTTCCATGCAAACTTGCTTGCTTAGACCCTTATCAAAGACCCAACCCTGCATCTCCATACCTGAGCCTCCCTGGGTAGGCCATTTAACCAAGAAGAGCCTATTGCCCTGTCGCTGTCCACCTAACTTCCCATAGCAGGATCATGGGAACGTACCCACCTAGCTCAATACCACCCACACTGACTGGCAGTGGCTCTTCCGAGTTCCAGACAGGGGATGTTGCCAAGCCCTACCTGGAGATGCTACCTGGAACTGAGTCTGGGCATTGCTTTTTTTCAGGGGGTAATCAAGGGTTTGCAGTATCGGTACCTCTTCTTTTTTGTTGTTGTTAAAAAGTGTGGCACTTACTATAACAACTTCATGGTGAGTACCGGCACCTATTTTTCTAGAAAAAAGCACTCAGTCTGGGCTTTCTGCATGTAAGGCACTGAGCGACAGCTCTTCCCCACCCAGAAGGGTCCCCTGGAGAAGGACCTCATCACCTACTCTTAACTCCACTGGTTCAATGCATTTATATTCCACCTTTTCCTCCACGGAGCACCATGTAGCGTACATAATTCTCCCCCTCATTTAATCCCCACAACAACCCTGTGAGGTGGGTTAGGCTGGGAGGCAGTGACTGGCCTATGGTCGCTCGGTGGGAGCGAGGGGGGATTTGAACCCTGGCCTCTCCCAGCAGGTTCTAGTCCAGCAGGCTCTAGCCCAGGGGTCACCGGTCCACCGTCCCTCAGACCATGTGGTGGGGCGGACTATATTTGGGGGGGGGGGATGATGAACGAACTCCTATGCCCCACAAATAACCCAGAGATGCATTTTAAATTAAAGCACACCTTCTACTCATGTAAAAACACGTTGATTCCCGAATCATCCGCGGGCTGGATTGAGAAGGCGATTGGGACGCATCCAGCCCCTGGGCCTTAGGTTGCTTGCCCCTGCTCTAGCCACTACACCACATTGACTTTGATACATTTCTATAGGAACTTTCAATAATAAAAAGTTCTTCCAAAGGCAGCTCCCATTAAAAATAAAACAAAACAAAATAGGTAACAGTTAAAAAAAACATCTGAAGAAATCCATGGTCTATTCTTATTTTAAGTTGTTGAACGTCTTAAATTGTTGTAAATAATCTCTCTTTTTTTTTTTGTAAATCACTTTGAGGATTTACAACTATATATCTATATATATATGGTTTGTTTTTTTAAATAATATTTTATTAAGTTTAACAATAGGGGGGGGGAACATTCACAAAAACAATATAAACACTGAGGGGATATAAAACATACAAAATTTCACAATACAAAACTACAAACATTTAACCTAACAAAGGAAAAAGGAAAAATCAATACAAAAAGGTAAAACATAGATCACTCTTTTCTATTTTCTTATCTTTGATAACTTATTTTCCCGACTTCCTCACGCCTCCCTTTTTTGTATCCCTTTTTAACAGTTGGTTCAGCAAATTCATATCTATATATATATCTGGTTTTAAAGTATAAGCAAACACATAAACAGAGGAAGTTTTCTGTTGAATAATGCATGCTGATGAAATTCACCATACCACTATAGTTACCTCAACCCCATAGGCATACACAGAACCACGACACCAAAAAAACACTGAACCACTATAACAAATTAACTAAATACCCCCCTCCCTGCCCCACTACCTGCCAACCCTTTTGGTGGCTTTAGGGGAATAAAACAAAAAAACCCAACAACCATAAAGTGGTGTGTAAGCTTTATGGAAGCAAATAAAATTAATAAATAGTACAGTCTCCAAGGCCAGGCCACACAATGAGATTTCCAGCTGCAATTTTGTAAGCCAAGGTTTTAAAGACAGTTTTCAAGGCCCCTTTGAAATTATCCAGGGTTGGGGCCTGCCTAGTATCACACTGGATGATAATTCCACTACTGTGGCACACTGGTGTGCCCTTATACATGTGTGTGCACATGCACACACACAGACACACACCAGAGTTTTGTCTAAAGCAATTCAGGTTTCAGCACTGTGGCCACGGGTGTGGTCTCAAAGTTAAATGTATGTGCGCACATACACCTATTAGTCACAGTCTCTGCTTCTTGCCAAATCGAGGGCTGTAAAGCAACTGCTGAAGGGGGCAGCGGCGGTGGCGGGGGGAACAGACCTTGAAAAAGCGGTAAATATTTATAACTGAGTGGAAATCCAAGAGCTGCTAAGAGAATAAGCTGCCCCGTGAATGGCAGCTTAATTTTTTCCACTAACTCATGCTCTGGGTGGAGTTTAATATACTTTCCAGGCACACTGCCAAACATTACTATATTGGATAACTTTTTCTGTTTTTTAAATACGTTTTCCTCTGACGTGCTGCTTTTTCAAGGGAGGTGGCACTGCAAACACCGTGGTACAAATTAAACATAAAACAGAGTGAGCTGCAAATAAGACCATACATTTTTGAAAAGTCTTTTTCAAATAAGTCCACAAAAGTGACACACGTGAGAATTGCGCTTAGCAAACTTGTTTAATTTTTTTTTAATGTTGCCTACTATGAAAGCACACCTGATTTATCACATACCACTGGTTTTGTTTAAGTATAAGGATGTTTATAAGCTGTAGGTGGCAGGGTACCATCTTAGAGAAGGAATTTCTTTCTCTCTCGCGCGACCACACACTTCTCTCTCAAACACACAGGAAATGTGCTTTCCCAGATGCACAGAAAACGTCACAACAGAGGGACTGAGCCTCAGTGGTGGAGCACCTGCTTGGCATGTAGAAGTTACTCCCCACAAGCATCAGCCTCCTAGTATCTCTAGTTGGAAAGGAGCAGCTAGAAGAGTTGGGAATGAGAATCTTAATACTAGTTACAGGTAGGTAGCCGTGTTGGTCTGCCGTAGTTGAAACAAAATAAAAAAAATCCTTCCAGTAGCACCTTAGAGACCAACTAAGTTTGTTATTGGTATGAGCTTTTGTGTGCATAACAAACTTAGTTGGTCTCTAAGGTGCTACTGGAAGGAATCTTAATACTGTCAGGAGACCCTTGTGCCCATCTAGTTCAGTCTTGTCTACACTGGCTGGCAGCGGTTCTCTGGGGGAGCCATAGCCAGCCAGAGGAGACATTACTGGGCAAGGTGGACCAATGGTCTGATCAAGGGTAGGAAAGTTTCTTTTGTTCACGAATGCTCCCAGGAAGCTCACAAACAGGGCAAGCCGGAGGCAGCCGCTCCTTGCTGATCTCTCCTTGTAAAATACATGAAAATGTTGCGCTTTGAATCTTTTTTGTTTTCTTTAAACAAAACACATACTTCAGTAACATGCAAGAATGAAGAAATGAATACAACTGAATGAAAACAAAAATTAAACATGCACACGCATCACACGGTATATATTTGGGTTGTTTCATTTACATACCCTGGGGGAAAATATTATGGGTGCGGTGTTTTAGTAATTGTTTCAACTGGCGGTATTCTTTTTAATATAAATTGTTCCATTGTTTTTAGAGTTTGCATGAAAGCTTTTCTGTCTGTCAAATTGGTTTTATTAATCTTAGAGCATGTGTTTCTGTGGTTTTATTCCATTTTTACCACGTACACCAATCTGATGGATTTAAGCAGTGAAGCAGTCCATAAACTTGCTTAAGTAATAAATTATTAAAACAAAAAAAATTCCTTCCAGTAGCACCTTAAAGACCAACTAAGTTAGTTCTTGGTATGAGCTTTAGTGTGCATGCACACTTCTTCAGATACACACACGAAAGCTCATACCAAGAACTAACTTAGTTGGTCTTTAAGGTGCTACTGGAAGGATTTTTTTTTGTTTTGATTATGGCAGACCAACACGGCTTCCTATCTGTAATAAATTATTGTTGCTGTTATTTGCTTTGAGATGTTTCATAGGAAGCGATCCATAAATGGATTAAATTAAATAAAAGGTCGCTAAGGCTCTCCAGACCTTTAGCTGAACACGCTGGCGAGTCCTATAACCTGTTCACGTAGCGCACATCTGGACCCAGACCACCCTGAAATACCAGAGACATTTCTCTTAAAAGATCAGACTTTTTTGTCCCTTCAAATGAATGAATGAATGAGACAACTTGTGGGGGGGGGGAGGAAGGAGGGGGTTACAAAACAGTGGTAACATCCTGAAGGGACAGAGAGATTAGCCGCAGACAAAGAGGGAAACAAATTGAAAAGGAGGAGAACGCTACATTTACTGTGGGCTTCAAACAAGGGATGGCATTGTCCTCCTGAAATGCTAATCTGGCTGGAACCAGTGAACCAGGTACTGGGACAAAGTTTTAATTAAAAATAGACTACCTTTCCAACCAGAGAGACAAGTGGCCACCTGTGCACGGCCAGAAACCAAACACCTCCCTGAGCAGCTGGCCAAACTCTTGCTTCCTGCTCAGGAGTCAGAATGCTGACGGACTTACTGAAAGCTCAAAAAACTGGGCACATTGAGGCAAAGGTGTACGTGGGTGTCAGGTAGCATCAGAGAAGGTCTCTGGGATTAGAGCTGAAATGGGGAACATACCAGATCAACTGCCAAAATTTATTTTCATATAAGTAGATTTGTGTGTGTGTAAATCAGGCATAATTAGAGGCATGTGGCCCTGAATGCTACTTGCTGGGAATGACAAGTGAAGAGAGTTGTTCTCAGGTCCTGCTCTTGGGATTCCCATAACCAGCTTGTTGGCCGCTGTGAGAATAGGAGGCTACCCTAGATGCACAGTTGGCATGACCCATGATCTTATGTCAGGTATTTCCCCCTTCTGAAATTAGTTTTGCTTTATTAGGAACATACCTAGAGGTGAGTGTGGGGAGAGGAAAGTCACATCAAAAATTACAGTGTCTGTTCCCCAGCAGGATTAACTACTCCTGATGCA